TGCACAGGGGTTCCTCCTGGCTCTGTACTCAGGAATCACCCCTGGCGGTGCTCAGGGGACCATCTGGGATGCTGGGAATCGAACCCGGGTCGGCCGTGTGCAAGGCAAACGCCCTCCCCGTTGTGCTATCGCTCCAGCCCTGCGTTTCCTTCTTTTGCTCCAGTTCTGAACCAAGGAGATGGTCTCCACCTGACCCTAACCCTCCGCGTAGCCTTGCCCCGACAGACACCCAGCAGGTGATGAACCGGCAGCTCAGAACTCCTCCGTAGGCCACGGCCACGCGCACCTTGACTCTGAGCACCTGTATCTCCAGCTCTCCTTCTCCTGCACGGTTCCAAGTCCACTTGCAGCCCAAGTTCCTCCCCCTGATACTCGGTGTCCAAACAATTCCTGGAACCTTTACTAGTCACGAGTGGAACTAATCCTTTCCCTCCGGTTCCTCCGCATCTACCTACCTTTCCCCTTAATCGCCTTATCTTCGCTCCTGACTCAACCACTCCATCTAGAAACTGGCACCGTGGGGCTGGGGAGATGGCACCATGGGTGGCACAGCGAGTGAGGTGCTGGCCTCGCGCACGCCCAACCCAGGTATGAAGCTCGGCCTCCTGCGTGGTCCCTGAGCACTGCCAGGAGTAATTCCTGCGCGTAAAGCCGGGAGTGACCTCTGAGCGTCCCTGGGTGTGACCCAAAAGGCAAAAACAAAAACAAAAAAGAAAGAAACGGGCAGCAGTTTAATTCGCCATTTCCAGATGACCAGGCCTTCTCGAATCTTCCTTTCTTCATCTTCCTTCTAGAGGTGCTGCCAGGTTAGGGGCTTCTTTTTCTTTTCTTTTGTTTTTCTCTTTCTTTTTGGGTCACATCCGGCGAGGCTCAGGGGTTCCTCCTGGCTCGGCACTCAGGAATCACTCCTGGTAGTGCTCGGGGGACCCTATGAGCTACTGGGAATCGAACCCGGCTCAGCCGCATGCAAGACAAACGCCATACCGCTGCGCTATTGCTCCAGCCCCGGTTAGGGGCTTCTTATAGCCCAGTGGACCCTGAAGTGGCCTGAATCAGGGGTCTTCTACCACTGACCCATGAGCCGGTGCCTTCCCACGGGTAGAGAAAGGCTGACAGCCACAGGTCTACCGCTTGGCTCCAACTGCTGGTCTGGGATGCAGGCCAGGTGCCGGGTGCAGATTGTAACAAGGTCAAAGGCCCCTGACCTCAGTGCCCAGGAGCCCCATCTGCCAGCCCCCGCCACGGGATATCACCAAACCCTCTACCAGTGAACGTCTCAGGTTCCCTAGCCTGGAGTGTGGTGACGCAGGCTGAGAGAGATTTCCAAGAACAGCCTAACCTGCCTCCCCTTGGTACACACCTGGGGGACAGAACTAGCAGGTCTCTGAGGTTCAACTCGGGCCAAGGAGGCATGTGGCAATCTTGGAGGCACTTGGGGCTGACCCACAAGTCTACAGGACAGTGGACGGCGGTGCCCAAGTTGGGAAGTGCCACCCAAGCTGGCTGGCACTCAGAGGCAAAGGGCCGAGTGCAATTTGGCCTGTCCGGTCCAGGCTCCCGGGAGGAAGCAGAGTATGGTGGCCGCGGAGCTGACCTCTGTGGCTCCTGTGTTCTTCCCAGCACCAGAGAGCGTGGGAAGAAAAGCAACGCTGGGGCTGGAGCGAGAGCAGAGCGGGGAGGGCGTTTGCCTTGCACGTGGCCGACCTGGGTTCGATCCCCAGCATCCCATAGGGTCCCCTGAGCACCGCCAGGAGTAACTCCTGAGTGCAGAGCCAGGAGGAACCCCTGTGCATCACCGGGTGTGACCCAAAAAGCAAAACAAAACAAAACAAAAATAAAAAAATAAATAAAAAACAAAGACCCCCTTCTCGATCCCTAAGACTGACTGAGGTACTCCGCAGAGGAGAGAGACAGTCCCTGAGTCCCCCTAGCGCTGCTAGTGACATGTTCTGCCTAGACTCGGGGCTGGTGTTTACTCTGTGCTGAGAGAAGCCGTGATCTTCCACACCTCCTCTCTCTCTTCACGCCGCCACTGTCCTACTCGGCAGGAGAGGAAACAGAAGTGGAGCAGCTGGCCGAAGGGTCCAGCAACGCTGCTTGGGGCTCAGATGCACGTAACCTGAGTTTCATCACATGCATGATAGTGTCCTACCAATTCTCTCCATCCCAGGTGCCAACTCTAGAACCCAGAAGTCCCAGGGGCTTTGCCAAGAGCAAAACAAATTGCAAACTGCACACCTCCTCCGTCAGCAGCACAAGTTGCAGCCTTGACAGGATTCCCAGAATATGGAAGCCCAGCAGGAAGGATTGTTTCGGGAGCTCCCCCAGTGGTGCTCAGGACTTTCTCCTGGCTCTGTCCTCGGGGATCACTCCCAGCGGGGCTCAGGAAGACTCTCTGGGGTGCTGGGGAATCCAACCCGGTCCGCTCAAGCACCTTACCTGCTGTATAAACTCTCTGCTCTCCCTCATCGGGAATACTTCACAGGGGTCAGCACAGAACAGGACTGGGGTGCATGACTTGCACGCCAGAGCCCAGGGTTCATGCCCCAATAGCACAGGGTTTCCTAAATGCACTCCCCACCCCCAGGACAGCCACCTGCAGTCACTCCCTCTGTTACCTACAAAAGGAACTTTGGAAAAAACACCTCAGCTGCCTGCCATGATCTGGGCTGACAAAACGGGCAATTTGTGGGCCAGGCTGAGCGCACGCCCCAAGAGGCCCTGGTCTGAACCAGCCACCGCCTGGCCCCAAGCACTGTCAGGAGGCAGGGGAGCAGCCCTCCGGTGTGCCCCCTAAATCAAAGGCCGACTAATTCCCCAGGAACCCAAGGGAATGTCGTGCTTCTAAGCCGGAAAGAGGGCACGAGCACCCACCCAAGACCAGGATACATGGGGAGCAGGGGGCCCTACAGACGCTGCCCTGGTCCTCACGACGAGTGCCGATGGAGAGGGGTTCTAGGGGCAGATGGGAGACGCTGTAGAGGGGTTCCGGGGCGCAGTGCATGGTACGTCCTGGCTCCCCATTCATCTTCCACGACAGGCTAACGTGCCCAGCAGGTCGCCTAGATCACAGCGCTAGACAGTCCCAAGGCCAAACCGCCCCCCACATTCCTTCCAAAACAGCCCCCTGGGGCCTGAGCCATAGGACAGCAAGGACAGTGCTGGCCTTGCACACGGCCGGCCCGGGTTCGATCCCTGGCATCCCAGGAGGGCCCCTGAGCACCGTAGTATTGCCGGGTGTGGCTACAAAGAAAAAAAAAAACCCTAGTCCCCTTGCTGGTTCCCTTATTCCATCTGAAAACCTGAACCCCACTTCCAACAGCCTACCAGGTCCTCACTCTCCTCTGAACCCAAACACAGACTGCCTGGCTCCCATCTAAACATGAGGACTGCTGTCTCTGGGACTAGGCCCTTGTCTAAAACGAAGTCTTTACTTTTTTTTTTAAGGTCTTTTTTTTGGTGGGGGGGGTGAAGGTCACCCCTGGTTCTACCCTCAGGGATTACTTCTGGCAATGCTTGGAACATAGGGGGTGCCAGGGATCAAACCTGGGTCCGGTGTGTGCAAGACAAGTGCCTTACCCGCTGAACTATGTCTCCAGCCCCTTACTGCCAGGTGGTGTCCCAGGACTGGAGTGATAGCACAGCTGGTAGGGCGTTTGCCTTGCACACGGCCGACCTGGGTTCGATCCCTGGCACCCCATATGGTGCCCTGAGCACCACCAGGAATGATTCCTGAGTGCAGAACCAGGAGTAACCCCTGAGCATCTGTGATTGTGGCCCCAAAAAGCAAAAAACAACCAACCAAACCAAACTAGCAGTGCCTGGCAGCCCAGGGAACTGTGTGAATTCACTGAACTGACCCCACTGCACCTTGGCGCAGGGGCTGTTCCTCCTACCGTACAACTCAGGGAACCGCAGCCCAAAGATAACCCAAAGCCTTTCAGCGACTTTCCCAAGGTCAAACTGCTGGAAAGGGCCGGCCAGGGCTGTGTTCAAATCCAAGTTCTTCAACAACTCCCCGTTAGCTACTTATGCAAGAGTGCCTGGAAAAATTGAGAAGTCACTGCAATCAAACGCATCAAATCTACTTGCTACACCAAATCCAAACAACGCAGGTCTCTGACACCCTAAGGAAGGGGGAGGGGGGTGAGAAGGAGTGGTCAGGCCAGCCACTCTCCAGCTGAGAAGCTTTGAACAATCCTTTTTTTTTTTTCTTTTCTTTGACCCACCCTAGGAACAGGAAACTTAAACCAGAAAATCCTCCTGGCAAGGGGGTGGGGATATCACGACAGCAAGGTCTTTGGAAGGGTTCTGAGAAGTTCCCTGATTTGATTCTGCCCTGCCACCACGCAGATGGTCAGCGAAAGCTGGCACCTTCCGGGGAACAGTCGTGGCCTCGGGCAACGCCGGGCGGCATCTGCCCTCCACTATTACGCAGCCTTAAAACAATTAGAGGGAGTGTGCTACACGCAACCGCAAGAATGCATGCCTCGTGCCACATGAAAGGACTGAGCCAATTTTTTTAATCACCCAAACCTGTTAGCAGTCAAACGCCCTTCACTCTTCTCTCGGGAGTCCTGCCTGCGAGGCATAACTGGGAAGCGGCCGAAACCCCGCACCGGCGGAGGTGCGTTGCGTTGCGTTGCGTTGCGGTGCGGTGCGGTGCGGTTGCGGTTGCGGTTGCGGTTGCGGTGCAAGGCTCCGGGTGGTGCCCGCCGGGACAGCTGTCGGGCGCAACGGGGCGCGACCCCCCGGGGGCAAAGTGACACGCGCCGACCCCGCCGGGCCCGAGCGCGAGGACGCGGGGACGCGGGGTGGGCACCGTCTCCCGACCCTGCCCGCGTGCCCAGCGGGGTCTGCAGCGGGGCCGCCGGGGGACGCCTCTGCTGGACGCTCGCTCCAAAGCCAGCCCCCCTCCCCGCCTCGCCGGCGCCCCCCGAGGCAGCCCCCCGCCCCAGCCCCCCAGAGCCGAGCCGAGCCGAGCCCCGCCGCGCACTCACCGGCGCGCCGCCGCGCAGCAGCCGGACCGCGGCCCCGACCATCCCGCCGCTTCCAGGCCCGCGATGCCCCGGGAACGCGCCGCGCGCGCGCCCTTAGGCCGCCGAGCAGCAGGCGCGGGGCGGGGCCACCCTGGCCACGCCTCCGCCCACGCCCCCGGACGCCCCGCCCCGCGCGGCCTTTCCGCCACCCCCTCGCCCTACGGAAGCCCCGGAGAGACAAAAGGGCCTCCCTTGCGCCGCCGGCGCCCCGCCTCCGCCTGCTCGCGCGAGACTGAGCGAGGCCGCGGGGCGGGAAGGGACCCGAGACACAACAAACATGGCGGCGGCGGTGACGGAGACGGCGGCGGCGGCGGCGGCGGCGAGGGCGGCGGCGGCGGCGGCCGTGGCGGTGCAGCAGGCGCTGGGCGCTCGTCCGTGCGGCGGTCAGGCGGTGAGGCGGGGGCGCGGGGCGCGGGGTGCGGGGCGCGGCGGGCCCGCCCGGGGCTCGGCGCCGCGGACGGACGGTCGGGCGTGGCCGGCGGGCGCGGGGTGGCGGCGCCGGCGGGGCCCGCGGGGCCGGGGAGACGCCGCCGAGGCCGGGCCGGAGCCCCCGGGAGCGGGCGCGGCGCCCGGTGTCTGCGCGGGGCCGTTTCCCCGCGAGGTTGGGGGGCGCTGGGCGCGGGGGCGGGGGCCAGGTTGGGGGCGCGTGGCGCGGGGACAGTGTCCAGGTCAGGGGCGCTTGGGCAGGTTGGGGGGCGCTTGAGCGGGGACAGTGTCCAGGTCGGGGGCGCTTGGGCAGGGGACAGTGTCCAGGTCGGGGGCGCTTGGGCAGGTTGGGGGGCGCTTGGGCAGGGGACAGTGTCCAGGTCGGGGGCGCTTGGGCAGGTTGGGGGGCGCTTGGGCGGGGACAGTGTCCAGGTCGGGGGCGCTTGGGCAGGGGACAGTGTCCAGGTCGGGGGCGCTTGGGCAGGTTGGGGGGCGCTTGGGCAGGGGACAGTGTCCAGGTCGGGGGCGCTTGGGCAGGTTGGGGGGCGCTTGGCGCGGGGGCAGGTTGGGGGGCGCTTGGGCAGGTTGGGGGGCGCGTGGCGCGGGGACAGTGTCCAAGTCGGGGGCGCTCGGGCAGGTTGGGGGGCGCTTGGGCAGGGGACAGTGTCCAGATCGGGGGCGCTTGGGCAGGTTGGGGGGCGCTTGGGCGGGGACAGTGTCCAGGTCGGGGGCGCTTGGGCAGGTTGGGGGGCGCGTGGCGCGGGGACAGTGTCCAGGTCGGGGGCGCTCGGGCAGGTTGGGGGGCGCTTGGGCAGGGGACAGTGTCCAGGTCGGGGGCGCTTGGGCAGGTTGGGGGGGCGCGTGGCGCGGGGACAGTGTCCAGGTCGGGGGCGCTTGGGCAGGTTGGGGGGCGCTTGGCGCGGGGGCAGGTTGGGGGGTGCTTGGGCGGGGACAGGGTCCAGGATGGGGGGCGCTTGGCGCGGGGGCGGTGGCCAGGTTGGGGGCACTTGGGGCGCGGGGAGTGGAATCAGGCTGGGGGACACTTGGGCAGGGGACAGTGTTCAGGCTGGGGGCGCTTGGGTAGGTTGGGGGCACTTGGGCGAGGACAGTGTCCAGGTTGGGGGTGCTTGGGCCCGGGCAGAGCAAGGTTGGGGGGCACTTGGCACGCAGGGGGCGGAATCAGGCTGGGGGGCACTTGGGCAGGGGACAGTGTCCAGGCTGGGAGAGCTTGGGCAGGTTGGGGGGCGCTTGGGCGGGGACAGTGTCCAGGTAGGGGCGCTGGGCGTGGGGGCAGTGGCAAGGTGGGGGGGCGCTGGGCGCGGGGAGTGGCCAGGTGGGGGGCGCTTGGGCAGGGACAATGTCCAGAATGGAGGCGCTTCGGCAGGTTGGGGGGCGCTTGGCGCGGGGGCTGTCCAGGTTAGGGGCACTTTGAGTGGAGACAGTGTCCAGTTTGGGGGCGCTTGGCCCTGGAACCCGTCGGGCTGCACCGTGTCCGCGCCCACTCCGGCTCTGCCCCCACCGCCACGCGTGGCCCTTTTCGTGGCCCTTTCAGGGTCGATCCTGACACCCCCCCCCCAAGGGCAGTGGCCAGCTGCAGGGAGAAATAGGGGCGTGTACAGCTGTCCAGTGCAGGCGGTTCCGTTTCAGAATGCCACTTCATTAATGAAAACGTGTTTGAATTTTTTTTATTATTATTATTTTTATCTCCGTTTGGTTTTCCCCAGTGCCTGGCACGTGCCAGGTTGGGCATTTGTCGTGCCTTCAGCACACCCAAATGTTCGGGAGGGTTCAGGTACAGCCCAGGGAGATGTTTGCTGTCTTTTTGGCCCCCCTTGAAAGTCCAAAATGTTTCCCAGAGAACCCGAAGTATTTGGGGGTGTGGGGTTGTCTGTAGCCAGGGTAAAGGAAATCGTGCGCCAAGAAGTATTTTTGATTGGCTTTTCTTTGAGGCTGGGTTTTGTTTTTGTTTGAGCCTTTCCTCAATCCTGTGGGCTCCTTGGTCTGTGCCGGCTGGCCCCGGAGAAGCGTTCTGGGAGCAGGTGAAACTAATTAAGTTGAAGCGGGTACAAACACGTTGCCAAAATTGAATTCATAAGGAATCCACTGTGACCAAAACGATAAAGTCCCGCGCACTTGGTTGTCATTTTGGAGCAGCGTTTGTTCAGCCTGACGTGGGCCTGCCAGCCTGGGTCCTGCCAGGCTGGAGCCCTGTCTGGGGCTCGGTTCGTCCTGCCGGCCCGGGTGCCCTCTCTGGGGCCCGGCACGTCCTGCCAGGCTGGTGTCCTCTCCGGGGCGCGGGCACTGGTGTCTGATCAGCCACCCCACCCGCAGGTGCTAGTGAAATTTCCTGTCCTGGCGGTTCTGATTTGTGGTGTGCTTTTTTTCTTTGCAGACCTCTGTATGGCTTTTCAATTTTAGTTGAAATTTCCTTCATGGCCTGCCTTTTGGCATCCCGGTGTGTGTGTGTGTGTGTGGTGTGTGTGTGTGTCTGCAGAGTCAATTCCGAATACTCTCCATTTCGTCCGTCTTGGCGTTCTGGGTGTGTGTGTGTGTGTGTGTGTGTGTGTGTGTGTGTCTGCAGAGTCAATTCCGAATACTCTCCATTTCGTCCGTCTTGGCGTTCTGGGTGTGTGTGTGTGTGTGTCTGCAGAGTCAATTCCGAATACTCTCCATTTCGACCGTCTTGGCGTTCTGGGTGTGTGTGTGTGTGTCTGCAGAGTCAATTCCGAATACTCTCCATTTCGTCCGTCTTGGCGTTCTGTGTGTGTGTGTGTGTGTGTGTGTGTGTGTGTGTGTGTCTGCATGTCTGCGTCTGCCTGCAGAGTCAGTTCCGAATACTCTCCATTTCGTCCTTGGAGCAGCAAGGATGGGAAGGAAGTGATCTGGGGTGAGAAGGTCGGCCAAGGCGACGCCTGTCAGGGTGCTGGCCGCTCGAGTTTTGTGTTTTCTCACCCGCCAAAGCCTTAAAATCAGTTGTCGGTGGTGGTTGTGTGGTCATGAAGGAAGATGCTCCCGGCACACTGGGCCCGCGTGTTCTGTAGCGCGGGGAACACCAACTGACTGTGATCATTAGGCTGTAAAAGCAAACCTGTCTGTTAACTGCAGCCAGCTGGTATGTAGGGCCCTAACCCTCAAATTAAGGTACAGTGAGTGAGTTGCAAGGTGTTTCAACCTCTGATTAGTAACCCTTCTCAGTAAATGCACGTGAGGGGCCAAAGCGGTAGTATCGTGGGGAGGGTGCTTGCTTTGCACTCGGCTGACCCCCGTTTCATCCCTGGTACCCGGTATGAGTCCCCAGTCCCCAGCAGGAGTGACCCCTGAGCACAGAGCCAGAAGGAAGCCCTGAGCGCTGTTGGGTGTGGCCTAATAGGTAAATAAAATTGAGGTGACTCGCCAGTTCCTCGTGTGGACCTGTGCCTGCCCCCACAAATGCCGTGCTAGACCCACCCTTGCCTGAATCAGGGCCATCACAGGGCTCGGGGAAGGGGAACAAGTGTTTTCTGTTGGTTAGTATTCAGGCTTGGAATACACCAAGCCCAATGCACCCCCAGTACCCGTCCATAGCTAAAATAAAATTCGAAAACAGAAGTATGTTTCTGATGCCACTTTGAAATCACATGTAAGCAATATGCTGGCTAATACGTGCCAATGTATTGAATCCCTGACTACTAGTAGGAAAAATGCTTTGGATGAAAATATACAGTTTGATAATTTTCTGAAGTTAATTTCTATAAACCATCTCCAGAGGCCAGTTAATATTTAGAATTCGTAGGATAAACGTTCAACCCTGAGACTGATGATGATGATGATTTTTTTTTTAAAAGGTGGGGCTGGAGCCATAGCACAGCAGTTAGGGCGTTTGCCTTGCACACAGCAGACCTGGGTTCAATCCCAGCATCCCAAATGGTCCCCCAAGTACTGCCAGGAGTAACCCCTGTGCCTCGCCGGGTGTGACCCAAAAAGCGAAAAAAAAAAAAAGGGAAGATAACGGTTTGGGTATAAAGCGAAAAAAAAAAATACCAGAAAGTCTTCTATACTCTTGAAATACTTGTTCTCTATTTTGCTTAGAAATACTGAGAAAACTGGGTTTGAATCCAGCAAACCGCTGGGATTTCACCCTAACATTCTTCCTTGTGTGATCCAAGAAGTAGGTCTCGCTCAGAAGGGCCCCCTCATGCCCAGACACTGGGTGTTGGGGAGTGAAGACCCGTGGGCCCAGGCCGATGAGCGCAGGGGTGGAATGACATCTCATTTGCTTATTTATTTATTGGCTTTTTGAGTTAACCTGGGCTGGTTCCTGGCTCTGCACTCAGAAATTACTCCTGGTGGTGCTCGGGGAACCATATGGGATGCCAGGGATCGAACCCGGGTAGGCTGCGTGCAGGGCAAGCGCCCTCCCCGCTGTACTATCACTCTGGTCTGGACACCTCATTTTAAAATTGTCTCTGGACTCTTGAGCGTGTAAACCATGTCAGTGTATTTAAGATTCTAAGAATACTTTTCCTTGTGTTTACAGTATTCCTCTTTTTTTCACTGACACTTTTTGTTTTTGGTGTTTTTTTGGGCACTCTTTTTTTCAGTCCATCATGCATTAAGATTGAAAGTCACACAATTTATGGCAGGAACACAGTGAAATTTATAACGTGACAATGCGATAATAGCCAAGACTGTCAAAATATGCCAGCCAGCCTCTGTAATTAGGTTCATCTGTGTTCTTAAGATTTGAGATGCGTGTATTAAAAATACTGTTTTCCTTCACTTGCTTGCTTGCAAGCTCGGACTTTTTTCTTTTGCTTTGTCACACGCACCGAAGCGTGTTATGCTTTCTAATCGAGGCTTGTGAGATTTTTTTCTTGCTCATCGAAGCCTGCCAAAGTAGATTTGAGATATTTTCCATCGTAAATGTCAGTTTTTATATATGAACTGGTTGGCAAGAAGCGATGCGGAGTTACAGTGTAAATACCCTCCCTCCCTCTCTCCCTCCCTTCCTTCCTGTGCTCTGGGGTTCCTCCTGGCTCCGCACTCAGGAGTCACCCCTGGCAGTGCTCGGGGACCATGGAGTGAGTGCAGGTTGGCCTTGTGCACGGCAAGCTCCCTACCCACTGTGCTTTCTCTCCAACCCCAGTATTGTTTTCTTACAGCTCTTTGGACCACAACCTATAGAGTCTTCTCATTTTCGCGGTTTAAAGCTACCCCCCACATCTCTGTCCTTTATCCCTCTGCTGGTGGCCTCCAATGGTGCTGAGACGCCCTAAGGAACCCGAGGCCAGCCCCCTCGGCTCTCCGGCAGTTTGCAGTTTCTCCCTGTGGTGTAGTTTTTTGGGGATACACTGTCCTGGCTCGGGTTGCCGATTTCTGCACTTCTGTTGCTGTTGGTAGTCGTGTACCTATTGCTTTTCTTTCTTTTTCTTTTCTTTTCCTTGTGTGTAGTCTGCCCTTTCACTCTGGACGTGGGGATTTCTTGATTATCAGGACTCCCAAGCAGTGCCCGGCTGACGGGAGAGGAGCCCAGAGTTCCGTGCTGAGGCCGGAAGCCCGCACACTGGTCTCTGTCCAGCTTCTGCACACACAGGCCACGGCCCCCAAGCCCCTTAGGTCTCCCCCTGACCCCTGTATTGGTTTTGTCTTTGTTTGGGGGCCACACCCAGTGGTGGTGTTTGGTTTGGGACTGCACCCTGCCCTGCTTTGTGCTCCAGGTCACTCCTGTGGTCCTCCCCTGTGGTGCTCCGCCTCCTGCGCGCAAAGCATGTGCTCAGCCCAGTTGGGCGCTCTGGTCCCCTGACTGTTTATTAACGGGGCATTTTTCTGTATTTTCTCTTTCTGCAGCCCACTCCTTGCCTCTGTGTGTTCTTTTCTTTCTTTCTTTCTTTTTTTTTTTTTTTCTCTATATTTGGGTTGTGTGCCTGCGTCTGAGGGTTCTGCGCTGTTTGGCTTGGGGACTCTTAACAGGCAGTGCCCCAGGCTGCTCCCAGACCAGTGCTCGGGGCACTGTGCAATCCCGTGATTGACCCTGGATCTCCGCATGGAGCGCACGTGTCCCAGCCCTGCGAGCCGCCTCCCTGGCCCACCTCTGTGTCACGGATTGTGCTTTTTCTCCTCTTTGGATTGAGGTGGACTGCTGTTGGCCGTGCCAGGCTCCAGGTCCGGGCCCTTACAGCTCAGGCGCTCTCTTGCAAGCTTTATGTCCCTGGCAAGACCTAATCTAATCTTTTTTTGGGGGTGGGGTGGTAGCCTAGGGGGAGCGGTGCACCCAGCAGTGCTCAGAAATATCCTGGCTGTGCACTCAGGAATCACTCACAGCAGGGTTTGGGGGGGGACCATATGGGATACCAGGGGTTGAACCCGGGTGGGTCCCTGCTCTGGGACCCACCCGGGCAAGCGCCCTCCCTGCTCTGTTGTGTCTCCGACTATTATTATTAGCTATTGCATCTCTCCAGATACTAGCATAATATCTGTGATAAGGCGTTCTCTTATCATAGGTCATCTTTCATCATTTTCTGGGTAAGCTTTTCCAGTTTGTGGCAGGCGATAAGAGTGCGAGGAGCAGGGGAGGGAGTGCTCCCGCCTCTCACCTCCCCGACCCACCCTGGTCGCCCCGAGAAATGCCAGGTGGTGTCAAGATGGTGGAGCCTGCTCCCCGCGTCTGTGCCACATGGACGCCGGCGCCCACCCGCCCCCGATGGCCACTGCTCTGCTCGGCACAGAAGCTGGTCCCCTCCACGCGAGTCCTCGGGGAGCAGCAGGGCCAGGGTCAAGTGAGGCGTTGCTCTTTGCAGGGAAGAAAAGTCAAGTCAGTCTTCACTTTGGCACCGTCCTTCCAGGAATGATCCCTTCCTCTGCAGAAAAGAATTTCAGGAGGCAGACCGGAGCGGGGAGGGCGTTTGCCTTGCACGCGGCCAACCTGGGTTTGATCCCGACATCCCATTTGGTCCCTGAGCACCGCCAGGAGTAATTCCTGTGTGCACCGCTGGGTGTGACCCAAAAAGCCAAACAAAAAAAAAGGAAGAAAAAAGAACTTCAGGAGGTGGCAAAAAGCAAAATGAAATGACTGGTTTATTTAGAGAAATTCGCTCAGGGCCAGAGCAGTAGTAGAGCCGATAGGGTGTTTACCTAGTGTGCGGCCAGCCCTGGTTGGAATCGCACCAAATAACCCAAGAGTGATCGTCACTCAGCGCAGAGCCAGGAGTCAGCCTGAGCACGGCCCAGAAACAGCAGAAACACGGGGAGGGGAGAGAAAGGGGGTGATAAACTGTTCCCAGAGAGGACAGGGCTCCCCCGGGCGGGAATGAGCAGAGATAAGCTTTCTCCGAACTCCCGTCCAGGAGTTCCTCTTACTGAGAGTTAATCTGGGTGTCAGGGAAAGGCCTTGGCCTCTTCCTGCCCCTCCGTCGCGCTCCCCGTTCTCCTGTCCTGTGGCTTCTCCTCCTGTGTTTCTCCTGCGGCGTTCCTCAGACCTTAGGGCCCTCGGACCCCTGTGCCTTCTGCTGGGCCGTCCTGGCCACTTGAAACCAAAGCACAGGCCGTGTGTGTTGGCCGGGGTCCGGGCGCTCGCTGCGTGCGGGTGTAGGGCCTTGGTTAGGGACAGCCCAGGAGTGTATCGTCTGGGAAGTTCTCCGAGGTCTCCGTCCTCCGTGACCCCTGTCCCCGGGCCTGTGCCCATCTCATCTGCAGGTGCTCCCGCTCCTCTTTGTGATGCCCCCTCAGTGACCGAGGCGGAATGTGGCTTCCTGGGTGGCAGAGGGCCCGGGAGCGCGTGCAAAGGCCAAGGCACTTACTTGGTAGCCTCTGGCGGGGGCCGCCCCAACCCTGTTTGAACCCCTGGCCCTGCTGTCCCCAAAACAAAAAAGATTTAAAAAATCATCACAGGGCTGGAGAGATAGCACAGCGGGTAGGACGTTTGCCTTGCACGCGGCCGACCCGGATTCGATTCCCAGCATCCCATGTGGTCCCCTGAGCACCGCCAGGAGTAACTCCTGAGTGCAGAGCCAGGAGTAACCCCTGTGCATTGCGGGATGTGACCCAAAAAGCAAATAAAAAATCATGCCAAATAGTAGCCGGATTCATTTCCCTCCATCATGCGCCGTCTGGGAGGGACCCGTGCGGCGCCGAGCACTGTTGCTCGGGGCGGGCTGGCCTGTGATGCATTTTCACTTTATTTTTTAAACACATGCTTGATCTCTCTAAACTCTGGAAAATTATTTCAGGCTTTGCCCCCCTAGGTATAACGAACTGTGCGCATTTGGGAAGATAAGGGGAAAGAAGCAAAGATGGGTGAAAAGAAGCCGGAGCCGCTGGACTTCGTGAAGGATTTCCAGGAGTACCTGACGCAGCAGACGCACCACGTGAACATGATTTCCGGGTCGGTCAGCGGGGACAAGGACGCCGAGGCCCTTCAGGGAGGTACGGTCCACCTTCTGGTCGCTTGGGCACTGGGTCCTGGGCGCTCGCCCTCCAGATCATCTCCTGGAAAGACGCAGGACAAGTAGTTGTTCCGTCTTTAACAAATAAAGGGGCAGAAAAAACAAAAACACATAAAAAAAACAAAGGGGCGGAAGAAAAGTCTCGACCAAGCCTTCCTGTCGCCCAGAGCTGCCCGGTGGTCTCAGGGCAGGCTGCAGCTCAGAGGCTGTGGTCTCCTGGTCTCCTATGTGCCCTTCCGGTGCCCCAGGCCGCTCGCTAAGAGTAGACACCCGGACCCGAAGGAGGTCAGGAATCAGCTTCCCGACACAGTCCCGACTTCCTTCCGCCACTAGGAGATCGGGATAGGCCCTGAAGCCAAAATAGAAATTTCTGTTTTCCTTGCTCCTAAAATGAAGAAAGGACCCACTGCCGTCCCCCATCTAAGCGGAGACCCTGGAATCGAGGCAACGGCAGCCCACTTGCGGCTCCCAGGCGGTGCTGGTGCCCTTGCCCAGGAGGGCGGGAGCCCATTCCTTCCCCGACCCTGTGGTCAGCCCCCTGCCCTGGAGTGCTGACGGCTTCGTGAGACTTTTCAGGCTCAGAGCGGCGTCTGCGTTCAAGGATGGTTTGGGGAAGTCTAAAAATGACAGAGAGGAGCCGGAGTGCTAGCACAGCGGGGAGGGCGTTTGCCTTACTGGCGGCTGACCGGGGTTGGAGCCTAGGCATCCCCCAAGTCCCGCTGGGAGTGATCCCTGAGCACAGAGCCAAGAGTAAGCCAGAGAACCACTGGGTGTGCCCTTCACACTGTAGCACTGTCCTCCTGTTGTTCATCGATTTGCTCGAGCGGGCACCAGTAACGTCTCCATTGTGAGACTTGTTACTGTTTTTGGCATATCGACTACACCGTGGGGAGCTTACCAGGCTCTGCCATGCGGGCAGGATACTGTCGGTAGCTGAACAGGCTCTCCGAGAGGGGCGGAGGAATCGAACTCGGGTCGGCCATGTTGGCTGCGTGCAAGGCAAACGCCCTACCCGCTGTGTTATCGCTCCAGCCCATAATCATAGTACCTAAATAAAAATAAATGAACTCTTTCAAATGCTAAACTATGCAAAGCATAATAATCATTTAAACACCAAAAGCATAAACAAGTGACACTGAATAGGAGTAAGCACATAATTAATTTTCAAGTCAACATACAAGTAAAATTAAATTTTATGCAAACATATCAAAGGTATAATTCCAGACTAACCAAATGTTATTAGATATTTAAGATTTTTCATTTTCCTTCCCTTTTTGTTGATGCTGTTGTTGTGATGACCGAATGCTACACACACTGCTGTGGTGACTACACACTTGGCTGTACTGGTCGGGATCACAACAAAATGTACAGTCAGTGGTGCACTGAAACCAGTTGTGCAAACACTAGAAATAAAGTTTGCTTTCCCCGACCAGAACAGCCAAGTGTGTAGTCCCCCACACACACTTAAAAAAAAAAGAAGAATGATGTAGGGAATTACATGGACTTGAAGCTTTAGTTTCTGTGTAAGGGTTTATAGGCATGCTTGGTGTTGGCCTATTTTCTGCAGCTTTTTTTCTTTTTTTTAAATTATTTTATAAAGTAGTTAACAATATTTGATTACATTTAATATTCAAACGCCAATCCCACCATTACACCTTCCCACCACCATATTTCGGGTGTTTCCGTCCCGAACTCCAATCCCTGCCCCAAAGCAGCACTGAAATAATATTTCCCTCTAAGGTGGGTTGCCTCCTACCTTGAACCCCATCAGATGTGATGCGGTGCTCTTGGACTGTCGGTCGGGTGTATCCTAGGAAATGTCCAGGGGAAGGTTCACTCATGGTCGAGGCTTGGCCCAAGCGTGTGGAGAGTGGCCATGCGCAGGGTGGAGGTTGGGTTCTGGAGGTTTTCGGCTGCCGGGGCTGGGTCCCTTGGGGCAGGGAGGGGTCCCACACCCCCATCTCTGCAGCTCTTTTTGTGCGGCAGCGGGGTTAGGTGGTTGTCAACGAGACCGTGTGGCCTCACAGCCAGTGGGCACCCTTGCTGACCCCTGGCCTAAGGCCTTGGATTCCAGGGGCTAGAAATCCGAGTGATAGCTCATGATAGTGATCGTGATAGCTCCGAGCCCGTGTTCTAATCAGCCCCACAGCGGTTCATAGGCACCCCGAGTTTTGAGTCATCTTGGTCTCGGGAAACACTGAGGCCAGAAGGGACACAGAGCCTTGTCTCTCCTGTGGAATGGTTCTGTGGGACGGTGAACTTGGGGGGCTAGAGATTCCCTGTCAAGGCTGGAAAAAGCAGAACCGTTTTTGAGAAAACCAGTTCTCAGTCCAGAGAGTCAGTTGCTTTGTGAGTTTCGCTTCGGTGTTGAGTGCGCTGTTGCGTGGGTCGCTTCCGAGATTGCGTGTTTGTTCTTTTGATTTTTTGCTCTGCTCTGTCCGTAGCTGGAGCAGATGGTGATCAAAATGGCCTCGATCACCCATCTGTTGAAGTGTCCCTGGACGAAAACTCAGGAATGTTAGTAGACGGGTTTGAACGGACTTTCGATGGGAAGCTCAAGTGTCGCTACTGCAACTATGCCAGCAAAGGGACAGCCCGGCTCATCGAACACATTCGGATCCACACAGGTACGGGGAGGGGAAGGGCCGCGGAGGGCGGGCGGATTGCTCAGGCGAATCCCCCCCCCCCCCCGCGCTGAACCCAGGCGCTGGGGGCCTGGGACTCCGGGAAGCCGGCCCCGCGCTGCTCTGCCAGGCGCGGGCTGAGTGGGAGACGGATGAGGGAGGCGGGTGATTCATCTTCATCTCGTTCCTCGCTCAGCCGGGATGGGGGCTGGAGACCGCTGCCGGCCCTCAGCCCGCCCTCCTAAGCGGCCCCTGGCTGGCCAGGCTTCCTGGCAAGGCCTCCCTGTTGCCCCCAGGCCCCGGAAGACCATCTGACACCCTTGGTGCCCAGTGCTCATGTGGTCAAGGCTGTAAATCTCTTATTCCACCCGTTTCTCACATTATTGGGGCTATTTTCTGTTTGGTTGGTTTGTTTGTTTGTTTGGGGCACACCCAACAGTGCTCAGGTTCCTCCTGGCTCTGTGTTCAGGAATCACTCCTGGCAGGGCTCGGGACCATATGGGACACCAGGAATTGGCCGCTTGCAAGTCAAACGCCCTGTCACTCTGGCCCGAGTTTGTCGGCTGTCTTCAACAAGCAATAATTGACCCAAATCGTGCCTTTCGGCGACTAAAAAAAGTCACTGACATGAGGCAGGTACATATCGATGGTTCTGATGGGAGACCTTGATGCCCATGCCACTGAAAGGTTTTGCTTAGGAACTTCAGACCTCGGGCCAGAGCACAGCGCAGTAGGGAGGGCTTTTGCCTTGCACTCGGTCAACCCAGGTTCGAATCCCAGCATCCCATAGGGTCCCCTGAGCACCGCCAAGAGAAATTCCTGAGTGCCCGAACCAGGAGCAACCCCTGTGCATTGCCAGGTGTGACCCCAAAAGCGAAAAAAAACAAAACAAAAATAAAAACCCAAAACTTCAGGGCTGTGGATTGTGGTCTGGGGTCAACCCAGAGCATCACTCCTGCAGGCAGGCCTGTCCTCAGCCCCAGGCTGCCCCGAGGGCTGCTGGGGAGAGGTGGTTGCTGCCCTCCCGAGGAAGGGGCATGTGTGTGAGAGAGACTGTGTAGGAGTGTACACAAACATGGAACTCGGGCGTATTTTTGACAGTCATGATTAGGTAGGCGGCATTATTGTCATTTGTGCTATTCTTTCTCCAGATGCCTGTTGAAGCCAGGAGAGTCTCTCTGCTTGTATAAGAGACTGTGTTTCTAGCTGTTGCTGCTAAGCCTTTAGGCTCCGTGTCCTCTGACAAGCTTCCGTACAGGTTTTGTGACTACGGCACCAATGCAAATCCCTGAAAAGTGCTTTATTTTATTGGCTTCCGTGTCTGATGAACGTGCAGTTTTTTCAAAGGAGCTGCTCTTATGCTGTGTCTTGGTTTTCTTTCGAAACAGGAGAGAAGCCTCACAGATGCCACTTATGTCCGTTCGCGTCTGCCTACGAGCGTCATCTGGAAGCCCATATGCGTTCCCATACCGGAGAAAAGCCGTACAAATGTGAATTATGTTCCTTCCGCTGCAGCGACCGGAGTAACCTGTCCCACCATCGAAGGCGCAAGCATAAAATGGTACCCATCAAAGGTGCTCGGTCTTCTCTGAGCAGCAAGAAGATGTGGGGGGTCTTGCAGAAGAAGACGAGCAATCTGGGCTATAGTCGGCGCGCGCTGATCAACCTGAGCCCGCCGTCCATGGTGGTGCAGAAGCCGGACTACCTTAGCGATTTTACCCACGAGATCCCCAGTATCCAAACCGAGCCCTACGAAAGCCTGGCAAAACCTTCAGCCGCCGGTGGTCTCCCCCGAGACCCCCAGGAACTCCTGGTTGACAACCCCTTAAACCAGCTCTCCACGCTCGCGGGCCAGCTGTCCAGCTTGCCGCCTGAGAACCCCGACCCCGCGTCCCCCGGTGTGGTCCCGTGCCCCGATGAGAAGCCTTTCTTGATGCAGCAGCCGGCCGCCCAGGCCGTGGTGTCGGCCGTGGCCGCCAGCCTCCCGCAGAGCGCCTCGCCCACGAGCCCCGACCCCCGGCCGGCACACGGCCAGAGGAACTACAGCCCCGTGGCAGGCCCCAGCAGCGAGCCCAGTGCCCACACGAGCACGCCCAGCCTGGGCAACAGCCAGCCGAGCACGCCCGCGCCCCCCCTGGCCCTGCAGGACCCGCAGCTGCTCCACCACTGCCAGCACTGTGACATGTACTTCGCAGACAATATCCTTTACACCATTCACATGGGCTGTCACGGGTACGAGAACCCTTTCCAGTGCAACATATGTGGATGCAAGTGCAAGAACAAGTACGATTTTGCCTGTCATTTCGCAAGAGGACAGCATAACCAACACTGATGGAATACAATCACCATTATGATATTTCATTTGGTTTTGGTTTTCTTTGTGTTTTGTGGTTTTTTTTTTCCCTTGGGGAAGAGGGATGGGTGGGGGGCGATTATCCCGAATAAGGTGTCTGCTAATTTAAAGTATATTTATAGAATATAAATTTGACCTTGGAGGCAAGATTTTTTTTTCCTGGTTTTTGCTTTATTTTATTCATTTTTAATCACCAGATTAAAAATCTGGTCAGGGTCGTTTAAAATAATTTGGATAGTTGGACACATTGGTGCCTGCTTTTTCATTCGGATGTTTGAGATTTGGAGTACGGTCAGCATCTCGGCAGGTGTTTACCTAAACTTGCCATATTTGTGGTCCATAAACTCGAGACTTAACTGTATTGTGATGTGTGTATTGCAGCTAAATGTTATTCTTATTTAAAGTGGTAGAATAAATTATTTTCTCTTACAAAATCTGTTACAGCTTATTTCAGTGTTTAGAAGAGGAATTGCCTTTCAAATAGCTCTTAATTAAAAGACTATTTAACTCACATAGCTCGATCATAGTTGAATCAGTAACTTCATTTCGATTGGTAATAGTAAAGCTATTTCCATGTAAGCAATTCTTTTTAAAGTTGTAAAAATAAGAGAAAGTTCTAAAGTATGAGATGAAGACTTCGAATGAATAGGTGTTTCAAATTACCTGTCATTCAGTTTCTCCTTTAAACAACACTCCAAGTTTCCATTGAATTCTTGTCATGACACTCCCAGCTTGTTTTACAAAGCCACCGGTAACACATCGGAATGATAGAAGTATCAGCGGGTTAGTTGAAAGATGCCTTTTTCCCCCTTTAATTTGAACATTGCCTTTCAGCCCGTCAGTCTGTCGTCAGTGTCAGTTTGGGGTTACTTGTTATTCCTATTACTTTGTTGACCAAAGAGTTCGAGTGGAATCTTCCCTCTCGCTCCTAGGAGACAGAGTCCTCGGAACAGATTGCCGAGATTTCCTTTCCCTGCCTTCTCTCCAGTTACTTCTCTCCATAATTTCCAAGAAAAGGTGGGTATAGCAACACGTGGGGAAACGGGACTCTCAAGTGGTCCTTAAGCGAGGACACGCGTCCCAGCAGATTCTGTTCTCTGTGGCGCGGCTGAAGTCTCTTCTGCGAATCCAAGTTGTGATGTTTAATTGCAGTTTCACGAGTCTTTCCTGTACCATGACAGAACTCTACGGGGACGGTGATTGAGTTGTCGCCTTAGTAGGGAAGGATGCAAAAGTGTGACGGGAGCTGTAGAATACATTTAAACGTACTTAATTTGTTTACCAAAATAGGACTTGCTAAATAAATCTAGAGTCATTAATTTTGAATAGGAGACTATTGTTTTTATACTGTGTAATAACTAGCTTACTCTGCAGACAGCTCGGTCAAATAATAAAACATATTGTTATTAACTTGTTTTCTGTGTACTTTGAAAAATTTTTATTTTTAACTTGGTGCAGATCTTCAAAGTATTACTAATTGGCTTCTTTAAATAGGATATCCTGGGCGAGAGAAATAGTTAACAGGGGTTAGGGCACTTAACTTGCATGCACTGAGCCTGGTTCAAGCCTGGGCACCGCCAGAAGTGAGCACAGAGCCAGGAGTAAGCCCTGAGCACCGCTAGGTGTGGCCCAAACCCCCCTCCTTCCCTCCCTCCCGTCCCCCCTCCCCCGCCAAAAAGAGAATAATCCTGTTACCTGCTTACTAACCAAAAAAGAACCCCTTCTCTCATAATAAGTCAAGTGAATGTAGAGATCGTGTGTGTCCACAAAGACCCCAGTGCTGGGCCAGGGATCTCTGCCCCTTGCGGGTACCAGAAAGCCATGCGAGCCCATGGGACTATGCTCAGTGCCCGGGAGCAGAGCACTCGCATCCCCGGGTTGTGGATTCCAGACTCCATGATCCTGCGGCTTAAATCCCCCTGAGCTCAGCTAAATCTCAGCACAGCCATTTCAAAATGTCTAATGTGGCCCAAGTATTTAGTGCAGTGCCAGGAAGGAACAGGTTAATGTTGTCTGGAAGCTTTATGGTTATTATTTTCTTAACTTCTATTTTATTTTTCAAATAAAAGCAATACTCTAAAATAGGAAGTGAACTTGAATAATGAGAATGAGCTTTCTTGTTAAAACCAGTTTATTAACTATATTCTGGGCCAAATAGTGACAAATATATTTTTTCTGACAGCTAAATATAGATTTTCTGAAGATGCGTTTTTATTTAAACATAGGAGGGATTTCCTTTTCATAATTACAAGAATGTGTAGTTCTAGTTTTCCTACTTTGAAGAGCACAGTGGGTATTCCAAAGGTGTCAATGTTTGAAAGCTACAATTCTAAATGCACTAAAACTGTCGAAGCAAATCTACTTTACGAACGTTCTTAGGATTGTAATCTAAAAAATTGCATTCAGAATTTTATTTAAGTATCTGCGAGTTCTATATTTGGAAAGATGTTCATATCTTCCATTAAGTATTGAAAATGTTTCTTCATTTTATTTTTAATCAAGTATTTTGTAGAAATGAGTTGTTGGGGAAAGTTTAACATGCACTATTTATAGTACTTTGCTGTTAACAGGCAATGTTCTAAAACTAAATTATTTTTGTTCAGTGAACATGAGTTTAGATTTTTAAAGTTGGTAGATAATTTATCTCCACTAATATTTTTTTAAGAAACTGTGAAGAGATTAACAGGAAATCATTTTATTTCAGATTTTACTAATGTACTGTGTGTCGCTAGGGCTTCCTGAAGCTCAAGTAAAAGCTAGACTTTTACTTTGAAAAAATTTCACTGGAGATTCTCCAGTGCTGTTTCATTTCAGAAATAAGTGTTTGCCATTCGTATGTGGAATTAACAAAAGGAATATTACTAAGATGTGTTGAGATAAATCTCACTTTGAGTTATACGAAAATATTTATCAAATGGGTCTACTGTAATTAAAATTTTCCCTTTCCGGTAGTCTTAGGAGGTATATGATTTCTAGAGCTTGTTTTTGTTAACTGCTTTGATGTTAAAGAACATTTTGTATGCAAAACATAAAACTTGTGTGTTTGCATAAACACAGCATACGTTTAGGGATTCCAGAAAGCAGTTGGATGCTGAAATGACTAGTATGTAGCTCACGTTGTAAATGAAGCTTTGCTTTTGTAATACGTGAATAAAGAAGTAACACTTTCTAATGATCTCAATTACTCTTTTTTTTTTTTTGAAAACTCAATTAGTCTTTTCCTCGGTAATTTTCTAGTGTAGCATGTGAAATGCCAAGCTAATGACAGAACAAGTTTGAGTGGTTGCACTGGCTGGGTTCAACTTCCCTGGCTCCGACACTTCCTCTCCCATTCACTGAGGGACTCAGGCCACACGTTTATGCTACGACAAAGTGGCTCTTTCGTAATTGACTGGTCGGAGCGATAGCACAGCAGGTAGGGCGTTTGCCTTGCACGCGACCGACCCGGGTTCGATTCCTCCGTCCCTCTCGGAGAGCCCGGCAAGCTACTGAGAATATCCCGCCTGCATGGCAGTGTCTGGCAAGCTCCCCGTGGCATAAACACAGTAACAAGAAGTTTCACAATGGAGACATTACTGGGGCCCGCCCGAGCAAATTGATGAATAATGGGAGGACAGTGCTACAGTGGTTTACTTTAAAAAGTCCTTGGTGGGGCTGGTGAGATAGCACGGCAGGTAGGGCGTTTGCCTTGCACGTGGCCGACCACGGTTCAATTCCCAGCGTCCCATAGGGTCCCCTGAGCACCGCCAGGAGAGACTCCTGAGTGCAGAACCAGGAGTAATCCCTCTGCATCGCCGGGTGTGACCCAAAAAGCAAAAATGAAAAAACTTGGTGAAATCATTATCAGTGGTCTAGAAAGTGTCCTGTAATACAGATTTGGTTTAATTTTGCAAAATACTGAAAATCAAGACATTTGGAAATGGAGTTTAATGATTCTTTGGGAGATACCTCTGTACAATGTTATTTTTCTCGCAATGAAAAAGGGAAATGATCTCCGAGGGGTGAGTGGCTTGTCCACAGCGCGGGCCTTTCTGGTTTCCTTGTCGAAGATCTTCCAGAAACTCTGCTTTGAGCTTGTTAAGGTCTTGGGCTAGAAGCTTCACGCTGCAAGGAGATATCCGTCCTGAAAGGAGAAAGGACAGTCGAGGGTATTTGTGTAGGTCTAGCTGGGCTGTGTAATGGTCCAGAAATTACCTCACAGGAACCAGCCTCGCTCTAACGTTAGCAGGCCGAGCTGATGTGTTCAGTCTGGGGGAAAAAGCTCCATTAGGATTCCAAACAGTGCCAAGTACCTAACACAGGAAAAGTGTGAGCAGAAGACCAGCCTGAAAGAGATACTGTTAACAAACCCCTTCACTTTCCATCCTTTGCCACGGCAGGAAGGGGGAAGGAAAACACTTTCATTTTCACTTTTGAAAAGGGTACTTCGGCTTTGAAGTCAATAATGCTAGAACTAACTCCTCACAGCCTGGGGTGATGGGGGGGAGGGGGTCCTGGCTCCCGGGCCCCTGGGGCAGCGTGCCTCAAGGTTTGGATTTAGAAAGCCTTCCTGCTAGGATGCAATTCCTCTTCCATCAACTATTCCAGTTAAACTAGAGCCTGGTGGCTTCAGTCTATTGTGTAACTGTGCAGCTGCGGCCTCAATCGACTTTATCGTCTGAAAACCGAGCCTGGACCCAGGACACCCCCCAAAACTAGCCCCTTTCAGTGGACTGAGATCATAACCCTCGATGTTGAAATCCCAAAAGCTCAAATTATCCCCAAAGTCATAAAATTCCCAAACCCACAATCCTCAAAGAGCAAAATTCAAGGGGGGGGGGGGGGGAGGGAGGGTGTCAAATTATTCTTTAAGAACATTTTCTTTGTTGTTTGGGGGCCCCAAAATTCTGACATTCTAATTGAGGGAGCGGAGAGATAGTACAGCAGGTAGGGCACTCGCCTTGTATGTGGCTGACCCATATTCCTTCGCGGGCACCACAGATGGTCTGTTGAGCCCCCCTGAGCACCGAGCCCCCCGAGCACCACACGCCACACCCCCCGCCACAGCTGTGAGTCAGCTTTCGAGTGGTTTGGAACGCACAAAAAAAAAGCTTGCTGTTTTCCTCCTGTTCCCAGGCTCTGTAAAGGTGTTAATTAGCAGCGGGGGAGTGAGAAGCAAACAGGGACTAAAACTGGAATCGGGAGCAATAGCACAACGGGGAGGGCGCCTGCCTTGCATGCTGCTGGCCCGGGGTTCGATCCCCAGCATCCCAGCTGGTCCCCGAGCACCGCCAGGAGTAACTCCTGAGTGCAGGGCCAGGAGTAACACCCCCGAGCATTGCCGCGTGTGACCCCAAAAGCAAAAAATCAAACTGGAATCAAGAAAGCTGAATGCCAGGGGCTAGAGATAGTCGCTTTCCTTGCATGCAGCCCACCTGGGTTTGATTCCTGGGTCCCCACAGGGGCCCCCCATATTCCACCAGGAGTGATTCCTGAGAGCTGGGAATAAATCCTGAGAATCACTGGGGGTTGCCTCCTTCAAAAATAAAAACAACAACCCCAGGCTGCCCACGGAGGGGCTGTTCAATTTGGGTGAAACACCCTCTCAGATCCTGTTTCTCCCCTTTTTTTAAGGGAAAAAAAATCACACCTATAGGTCAGAGACACAATACAAGGTTAAGTTACTCGCCCTGCATTAAGCTGATTCAGGTTCCAGCCTGGGCACCAAATATGGTCCCTGAGCACTGCCAGGTGTGACCCCTGAGCACAGGTGGGCCAGGTGTAAGCCTTGAGCACAGTCGGGTAGCACTGTAGCACTGTCCTCCCGTTGTTCATCGATTTGCTCAAGCGGGCCCAGTAACGTCTCCATCGTGAGACTTGTTGTTACTGTGTCTGGCATCTCGAATACGTCACGGGGAGCTTGCCAGGCTCTGCCGTGAGGGCGAGATCCTCTCGGTAACTTGCCGGGCTCTCCGAGGGGGGCGGAGGAATCGAACTCGGGTTGGCCAGGTTGGCCGCATGCAAGGCAAACGCCCTGCCCGCTGTGCTATCGCTCCAGAGGAGCACAGTCGGGTGTGGCCCCAAAACCAAATACAGGGGAAACAAGTAAAACCACACCCTTAGGATTGTGCAGATTAAAGGGGTATTTATTAGACATCCTTAGCAGAGCTTAAGGAAAACGAGTCGTACTATATTTTTTACCTTTTTAACCACCGTGAATTAAGCTTTATTTTAATCTTGGTTCTGGGACCATACCAGAAAGAACCAAGATTAAAATAAAATGTTTGGTTTTTGAGCCGCACCCAGCAGTGCTCAGGGCTGACTCCTGGCTCTTGAAAGACTATCTGGGGTGCCAGGCATCAAACCTAGGTAGGTGCGAGGCAGATGCCCTACCTGCTGTACTAGATCTCCAGCCCCTGCTATGATTTTGAAACCAAAATTCAAATATAGGGAAGATTTCAAACTTAAAAACCTAAAAGACGAGGGATGGGGCGATAGCACAGCGGGTAGGGCGTTTGCCTTGCACACGGCCGACCCGGGTTCGATTCCCAGCATCCCATTTGGTCCCCTGAGCACCGCCAGGAGTAATTCCTGAGTGCATGAGCCAGGAGTAACCCCTGTGCATTGCCGGGTGTGACCCAAAAAAATAAATAAAAATAAATAAAAATAAATATGTATATATATATACACACGTATACATTAGCACATAATATATATATTACCACACAAGGCTCAACCTGTAATGTAAGTGATTTACACAGAGGCTTAATGGCTCCAGGGTGAGATATAACAATCTTCGCACACTTTTCTCTGAGGAAGTTTTCTTGGACTATTTTTAGCAGATTATTCATAACAAGCAATACAAAATAAATTATTTAGGTCCTGGTTTGTGAGCCGGCTTTGCAAGGGGGTAGAAACATTCAAAAAATATGGTGTTGGAATACTGAATGTAATGAATTACTGTGAACAACTTCAAAACCCTGAAAAATACTGTATAGGGGCCAGAGTGATAGTACAGCGCGGAAAGCAACTTGCCTTACACATGGGTCACCCAAGTTTGATGCCCAGCACCCCATACGGTCTCTGAGCCCTGCCGGGAGGAAGCCCTGAGTGCCGTCAGGAGTAAGGAATCCCTGAGCATCGCCAGGTGTCGTCCCCCCCCACCCCCCGCCAAAAGAAAAAACTGTATAAAACTGCGACATATTTGGAAAAATTATGAATCTTCAGTTTAGGGGGATAAAAGGACCCAAAGAGATGAAATCTAACACTGTCATATTGTTAGCACAACAGAAAGTATTTGGGTTTTGTTTTTGTTTTTGTTTCTGGGCCACACCTGGAGATGCTCAGGGGTTACTCCTGACTCTGCACTCAGGAATTACTCCTGGCAGTGCTCAGGGGACCATACAGGACGTGGGGGATAGAATCCGGGTTGGCCATTAAGACAAATGCCCTCCCCACTGTACTATCACTTCAGCCCCAACACATCAGGAAGTATTAAATGCCAGTGAAGATCTTCCTAATCTGTAGGTCAACAGTCTGATCAACAATGCACTGAACCTACTCACACCCCCGGACTGATCTGACTGTCTTGCCTGCTTCCGGGCTCACCCCACATTCAGTGGGTTCTATCACATTCCAGAACATTCCGAAATGTTCCCTTGGAACCTGAGCACTGCCAGTGATCCTTCCCCAAATCCTTCTCGCTGCCGGGCTTTTAATTCTATTGCTCTTCCTGTTTGGCCTCTGCTGGCGACACTCCTCTACTTGAACCCCAGCCCAGGAAACACGGGTCTGCTCAGACCTTCAGGAGTTGGGGGGTTCCAGGACTACAGTTGGGGGTGTTGGGGGCGGGGGGGGGAGGGACATTCTGTACCAGTCTCCTGTACAAGCAGATATGCGTCCGTAAGTGCTAAACTCTCTCCCCGCCTGTCCCCAATTCCCCACACCCCTTTTCTGTCTCGTGATCTGGGGTGCTCAGGGCTCGCTCCTGGTGGTGCTCAAACCAGCATCAGCTGTGACCAGCCAGGCTGCGCTCTCTCCCGGTTCCGCCTCACCGGGCAGGGTTTCTCTGGCTTCCCTGTTTTCCTTCTCGGAGGCCTGGATGGATGCGCCGATGCCCCTTCTGGTCCATCACACATGATCCTCTGTCTCCCACCTCCCGGGAGCAAGGCCTCGAGGAGACAGTCACTTGAGCCGCACAGCAAAGGAGACGGGAACTTTCCCACGGAAGCCACGGGGAGCCGCAGTGCAATTGAAGCAACCAACACCCCCCTCCCCAACCCCTGACACACACACACACACACACACACACACACTCACACACACACAGCCGCAGTGCAGTTGAAGCAACCAACACCCCCCTCCCCAACCCCTGACACACACACACACACACACACACACACACTCACATACACACACACAGCCGCAGTGCAGTTGAAGCAACCAACACCCCCCCTCCCCAACCCCTGACACACACACACACACACATACACACAGCCGCAGTGCAGTTGAAGCAACCAACACCCCCCTCCCCAACCCCTGACACACACACACACACACACACACACACACAGCCGCAGTGCAGTTGAAGCAACCAACACCCCCCCTCCCCAACCACACACACACACACACACACACACACCCCAGACCCGCGACGTACCTTTCGCTTCCTTCATTGTCTGCGAGACGGCTCTCCGCAGGCTCTGGTCGGCCTGGTGGAAGGCGTTCTCTGCGCAGATGATCCTGTCCGCTTCCTGGGCAATAAAGGCGTCGTTATTTCAGAGGCTCAACTGCAGGTCGGATTCCAGTTACCCTTTCCGAACTAACGAGAGACCTGGGTATGGAAGCGGTGGGGGCGGGAAGGGGGGGAGGGTGCTTCTCCCTGTGCTGCTCAGGGGTCACTCCCAGTGGAGCCTGGAGACCAGGAGCGACAGGGACTCGCTGGGGGGGTCCCAGCGCTCAGCCCTCTGCCCGGGTCCCGAAGGAGAGTCCCAGTGCAGTACGCCCCGCTGGGTGGAAGGAATCGGGGTGCTGGCAGGGGCAGGGACGGGCTCCCGCAGGATGGAGCCAAGTTCCAGCCGCGTCTGTGCTGTGGCCGCTGCGGGCTCTCGCATAACAACAGCAAGAGCCGGTGACCCTGACATCCTCACACGCCATCAACAGCGCCTGGTCCTGCTGGGGGTTCCCCTCCCCAGGCCTTACACCCCACTGCACTCTGCTCTTGGAGGCTGGAGGCAGAGACGAGTTTCTTTTATTAAGACAAAGGCTGGGGGCTGGAGCCACAGCAGAGCGGAGAGGGCATTTGCCTTGCACGCGGCTGACCCAGGTTCGATTCCCAGCATCCCATATAGTCCCCACCCCGAGCACCTCCAGGAGTAATTCCTAAGTGTAAAGCCAGGAGTAATCCTGAAGCATCGCCGGGTGTGACCCCAAAAGCAAAAAAAAAACAAAAAAACAAAAAAACAAAGGCCACCGGCCACAAGCAGCACCTCATCTGCAAGCTCGACGTTCTCCAAATGGGCCCAAGAGCGTGATTGGGGGGCAAAGAGCGGCCCTCTCTCCATTCGGGGGGAAGGAAGGGGACCCCCCACCTGGCCAGCCAGTTCAGCCGAAGCAACCCTGGCCCTGAGTGGGGCGACGGATGTCACAGTCAGAGGGCCTCACATCCAAGACGGTTTCTTTGCCCTCCTGAAACCCATTCCCTCGGTTCCCCCACAGCGGCCTACACGCATGCTGTCCGCTGAAGCCCCGTGCCTGCCCACCACTGCCCCGTGCGCGGCCACCTTCTGCTCCACGTTGTCCTCCGTGGCCTTTACGGGGTCATCCAGGGCGGCCCGCAGCAGGTCAGTGAGTTCCTGGCTGCGAGAGAAGGCAGCAGTGAGCGAGAATGCTGGTCACAGTGCCGCTTCGGGTATGTCTGGGACGAACATGACTAGAGGAGGGACGAAAGCGTCAGGGCCCGGACCCCAAAGGGAACCACCCGGAAACCATCTCTCCCCGCCAAATGCAAATGTCGAGGTTAAATCATAAACAAAACCACCACCCCACCCCGCCCACTCCCCCGGCGTTCCCTATGGTCCCCCGAGCACCGCCAGGAGTCATTCCTGAGTGCAGAGCCAGGAGGAACCCCTGAGCACCAGCAGGTGTGGCCCCCAAACAAACACCAAAGAACGTTTGTCTGGTCAAGGGGCCGCGAGGGCTCAGGGAACCTGCTGTTCCATCTACAGGATTTTCTGAACACCTTCTTATATGAAAAGTTCTCAAGATCTAAGTTGAACCTCTGGCAGGCTGGGGTGCGGGGCAGGTAGGTCCCCAACTTCCCTGAAAACAATGGAGCCCCTAAAATGTTCTTGTTTCACCTTTTTGCCATTCTGGACAGGCCTGTGACCTCTCTTAGACACGCCTCTCCCTTTCTGTCTCTCTCACACCCCTCACATTTCTAGAAGTAAATTTCTCGACATCAACTCATTTTACTTCAACATCATCAAAAATGCTGTGAATTCAGACAGTGGCAGGCCCGGGGAAGGACTATGGAACATGTGGGCAACGTAGTGCCCCCCCCACACCCCACCAGCTCTGGGGCAGCCCACGGGGCTCCCCGCACCTTAGCAGGGTGGCGGTGGGGTGGGCAGAACTGACGGGGAGGGAAGACTGAACTGACTCAGGTTCAAGGGCCCGGGACAGATTGATGAAAAGTCCCAAGGGACGGGAAGATGGGACGGGGGGGGGTGGGGGGTGTCAGACACAGTGGGTAGGGCCCTGCCTCACATGCAGCCCACCCAGGTTCAATCCCTAGTTTCACATATGCTTCCCCAAGTGCCATCAAGGATCCTGAGCACTGAGCCAGGAGTAGCTCCTGAGCGATGCTGGGGACGGCCCAAACACTCCTCTTGGCATCCCCCAAACAGAAAAACACCTTTCAGAAACAGCTGCTTCCCCGCAGACAAGAATGCAGTGGGAAGGGCAGGCCTCAGGGTGTTCTAGCCCTAGAACTGCTACCGACCTCGGGCCCTTCTGGGACAGTGGTGTTCAGGTGGGCTCTGAGCTGCTGGCCGCGCACGTGACCACGGAGCGTTCCGGTCAGCAGGGGAGACTCCCGTTAGCACAGTGTGCGCACGCGGCCTGTCAGCCTTCACTGCAGGGGCTGAACATGAGCTTGGCTGGGCTGGGCGGGCTGGCACAGATTTCACACACGGCAGGAAGTGGGTTCGATCCCCGGTACCACCTGGTGACCCTGAGCGCTGCCGGGGAGTTTGGCTACTTCAAAGAGTGTCAACCAAGCAAGGCCCAGGTATGCGGGTTCCAGGACTAAGTCCCCAGGCTGCACGGTGGCAGAGGCACCGGGCTGTCCCTCCCCGGCTCCCCGCACGCTCGACGGCCCGGCTGTCATCCCCACAATGTGCCTCCGGGCACCATCTTAGCGCACCAACAGTCCTGGTCCAGAGACGCCCAGTTGAATCCCAAAATAGATTCAGTCCCCTACCGAGATGCCTCTGGAACGCAACCACCTACAATCTAGGATTCCACGACACCCAATTTATTCCAAATGAGCACAGGACAATAAATGGGTTAGCATGTGCCCCTGGCCGGCAGGCTTGAATGGGGGTGGGAAAATTTGAGCAAAACCTAATGCCCCAAAGTAATGAGAGAGTATTGGGGAAACTGCCTGCCACGGAGGGAGGCAGGGTGAGGACTGGGATGGGAGGAGGGACATGCTGGTGTTGGAAAGTGTGCACTGGTGGAGGGATGGGTGTTCCATCATTGCACAGCTGAATCGCAAACATGAAAGCTTTGTAACTGTATCTCACGATGATTCGATATATTAAAAAAAAAAAGTCATGTGGAGGACATGCCCAATTCAATCAGCTTAATCAATGGCTGGATAAAAAGCAGTACTCCTACATTAAAACAAACAAACAAACAAACAAAATGGGGCTGGAGTGATAGCACAGCGGGGAGGGCGTTTGCCTTGCACGCGGCCAATCTGGGTTCAATCCCCAGCATCCCATAGGGTGCCCCGAGCACCGCCAGGAGTAATTCCTGAGTGCAAAGCCAGGTGTAACCCCTGAGCATCGCCAGGTGTGACCCAAAAAGCAAAACCAAACAAACAATGAGTGTCAAGGCCGGTCCTCTTGGAAGCTGCCTGCGGGACGAGGAGGTGGGCGACTCCTGCCACGGGCACACTCCCCCCCAACCCCCCTCAGGCTCTGCGGGGACTGGTGCGTGGTCGAGTACCTGTCGCAGGAGTCACCCGCCATGCTCAGGACACTGAGGCTGTGGCGCTCCCACGCGTTCTTCTCGGGATCCGGCCTCTCCAGCTTCCCGGCCATCTGGCGCAGGGTCTCGGCAGGCACGGGCCGGGCTCTCTGTGCGTTCCTTGCCAAGCAGGTGTCCAGAGGGCAATCGAGGAAGAGTTGGCAGAAGCCTGAGGAATCTGAAAGGGACGCCATTTCCCAAACTGAGCCAAGCACCCAGGACAGAGGATGCCAGCGGCAAAGCCCGACCGAGGCAACTTGTGGCCGTTGGCTTGGAAGATGAGGTCGATCCTGGGGCCGGAGAGACAGGGCAGCGGGGAGGGTACCGGCCTTGCGCGGAGCCAGCCAGGTCTGATCTCGGCACCCCACGTGGCCCCCAAGCCCGGCCAGGAGTGATCCCTGAGCACAGAGCCAGGAGTAAGTCCTGAACACAGCCAGATGTGCCCTCAACAGCTGAATGGACATTATAAAAAATATCCCCCCCCCCCCACACACACACAAAAAAGTAAATCCCTCTTGTGTTTTGGGCTTTTTGAGTCACACTGGCGATGCTTATAAGTTATACCTGGCTCTGCACTTGGGCACTACTCTTGGGGGTGCTCAGGGGACCATAATGGGACTCTGGGAACTGAACCCGGGGTCGGCTGTGTGCAAGGCAAATGCCCTACCCACTGTACTATTGCTCCTGCCCCAGTAAATCCCTTATTAACTTCATGATCCAACCCAGTTCTCACCAGGGGACAAAAGTGATTCTGATAAGCAAATAAATGTATTTGTGGGTAAAGGGGGAAAAAAAATAAAGGGTTTTCCTGACTTTTGAGTGTTTTGGGGGCCACACCTGGTGGTACTCAGGCAGAGGTGGGGGGGTGGGGGAACCAGGCAGTGCCAGGGCTCGAACCCGTGGCCGGCTCCACCCCTCTGAGCCCTCTCCCCAGCCCAGGGCAGAGAAGAAACGGTTAATTACATTTCCGAGCCAGCTGGTAGACTTCGTATCTCATACTTTGGTAATAGAAGTTGTCGTCTAAAATCAGAAACAAAGGTCTGGAGCCCGCGGCCTGCGAGAAGGGGCAGTGAGACGGGGCGTCCGGCGCCGGGGCGGGCAGCAGGTCTTGATTCTTTAAGCAAGTGACAAAGTCTCCCCACATGGCCTCGGTCCTCTGGGGCGGGGCAGCCAGTGGGGTCCCGTCAGTGACCGCGCGCAGGAAGGACTCCAGGTACGCCAGCAGCTCCTGCCGGAGAAGCTTCCATGGGGCCGGCTACAAAAGACACGGCGGTGGGCTCAGAGTGGGTGCCAGCAGAAGAAGGGGCCAACGTCTCGTCACGGCGTCCCCAACAACCCCCCCACACACACCCCCCGAAAACACGCTGCCCAGAACACTGATCCATTCGGTTTGGCTTTATTGTTTGAGACCGACCCTACAGTGCTCACAGCTTGCTCCTTGCTCTGTACTCGGGGATCACTCACTCGTGGCGGGCTCGGGGACCGTACGGGGTGCCAGGGAGAAAAGCCGGGTCTGCTGGGTGCCAGGAAAACGCTGCCCTGCTGCCCTACTGGTCTCTACCCAGGACTCGCTTCCTCCACCTGTGTGCTGTAACTGTGGTTCCTTCTCCTTACTCTGTGACGCTCGCCCTGGGTGACACCGCAGACTCGGCCACCAGTAGGCGCCTCAGTTCCCCCCCCCGCCCCTGACACCCCCCTTCCAGGCGTCACGCGAGCCCCTGCTCTGTCCAGTGGCCCAATCTCGCTCCTGATTAGAGACAGTCAGGCGACATCCGGGCATGCGTCTCGGGCGTGGTAATACGCTCGAGAGCCCGGCTCTGTCAGAGCGGCCCCAGAAACGGCCCTTCCATGGATGGATGCAGGACTAAATGGAGTGAGGAGAACTATTTTCAAACAAAAGACAGGGGAAGCAAAAAATCAATATCCCATTAAAACACAACAGGCTGGCTAAGCTCTACGGATACCGGCTCCCCCCTGCAACGGAGCAAAGGGCTGGATCACACCAAGGGACCAAGGGAAGGGGAGAGGGCGGGGGGGTGGGGGCAGGCAGAGAGAAGGGGGACGGAGGGAGGAGGGTAGAGACGCTTTCAAGGGGTCTTGAAGGAGTCGGCGCTTCCCCAGGACTCAGACCTCAGACGTTTCTCCAAGGTGTGTGTGTGGGGGGAGGGGGTTTGGTGTACGTCTCACCACACTGAGGGAAGTTTGGGGGCTTAAGTAGTATCTTTTGGGAGCAGGCAACCTGGTTTCTCAGGATATGAGCAGCTAGGGAGGCAAGCCTTCCCTGCACTTGACCTCGCTGAATGCTGAGGTCAAGGCTGGAGGGAAAGCCCGGGGCCGGAAATCCAGTTCCTCTCCTTCCTGTCCACATCCCATCAGGACACTGACATTAGCATGGACAACAAACACACCTGCTAACGGTAAAAGGGAACGGCGATCAAATTCCGTACCTAAGCCGATCAAATTCCGTACCTAAGCCATGGGACAGATGACCTTGTCTGCGGGCCAAATGGAAAAACTACAGCCCTGAAACTGAGGGGAGGGGCGGGAGAGAGTGCGGACGCTTGAATCACACCCACCCATTCTAGGCTCCACGCTGGACACCACGTAGGGTCCCCCGGGCTCCTCCAGGAGTGAGCTCTAAGCACAGCAGGGTGTGACCCCCCCAAAACCAGAACCAAACAAACAAAAAAATGATGCAAAGGGCTGCAAATACAATAATTATTATCCACAACTTTCAGCTTTCACCCAAGTGGTGAAAACACTCTGACCCAGGGGCTGGAGCGATAGCACAGCGGGTAGGGCGTTTGCCTTGCACGCGGCCGACCCGGGTTCGATTCCCAGCATCCCATTTGGTCCCCTGAGCACCGCCAGGAGTAACTCCTGAGTTCAGAGCCAGGAGTAACCCTTGTGCATCACCGGGTGTGACCCAAAAAGCAAAAAATAAATAAATGCATTTTTTAGGGGCTGGAGAGATAGCACAGCGGGTATAGGGCGTTTGCCTTGCACGCGGCCAACCTGGGTTCGATTCCCAACATCCCATATGGTCCCCTGAGCACCGCCAGGAGTAACTCCTGAGTGCATGAGCCAGGAGTAACCCCTGAGCATCGCTGGGTGTGACCCCAAAAATAAAAAAATTAAAAAAAAAAAACACTCTGACCCAGGTAAATCTGGAGCTAGCAGGGGCCTCACACTCTCCTTCACAACTAACCAAGGGTGAGGAGGAATATAATTTGTCTCTATATAAACTCGAATGTTTACATAAGTAAAATGTTCGCATACATAAATATTTATATACAAAGTATATATAAAAAGCTCCTGGCAGGGCCTGGCATCGAATACCCATGGCGTATTCGATATGCCAAAAACAGTAACAACAACGGGCCTCATTCCCCTGACCCTGAAAGAGCCCCCAGTACGGCAGCGTTGGGAAAGACGAGTAAGGAGAGGCTGCTAAAATCTCAGGGCTGGGACGAATGGAGACGTTACTGGTGCCTGCTCGAGGAAATCGATGAACAACGGGATGACATATATCACTTTATTACAGTGATATAAAAGCTCTAAACATTTATCCATACATAAATGGACAGTAATTCTGCACATGAACTCAAGAGTGAAAACACCTATAGGTATTTTATTTTTAAAATTTGGTTTTGGTTTTGGAGTAAAGTGCTCAGGACTTTACTCCTGGCTCTGTGCTCAGGGATCACTCCTGGTGGGGTTGGGGAACCCTATGGGGTGCCCAGAATCGAACCCGTGTGTACTGCATGCCAGGCAAGTGCCCTACCCGCTGTCCTAATGCTCTGTCCCCGTCATTTCCTCCATATGCTTCACCTTCACCTGACCTCTAATACGCAGGTACAACTATTTCAACTTTTCAGGGACTTTTTCTTTCTTCTCTCTTCGGCAGTGCTGGGGATGAATCCCAGGGCCGCCCACACCCTCTTGTCAGTCTTTCCAAGGCTGAAGGTGAAGCTGGAGAAGGAGCCTGGGCTTCCCCGGAGTCAGACCTCAGACTTCTCCAGGGTCCGGGGGTGGGAGGGGGTATGTACGTGCATTTCTCCCCGCTGAGTGCACTTTGGGGGTTCCAACGGTCTATTCTGGGAGCAGGCAACTTGGTTTCTAAGTCAAGTCCGCGGTGGTGACAGCGAGCAGGCAGTGTTGGGAAGAGTCGTGGGTTCTTGGCCGGCAGAAAACAGGTTTGTTCTGATAACAGAGGACTGAGCTTCCGAGACAGGCCCTTCCTCGGAGCGCCTCTTCCCTACCGTCATCGAGAGGAACCCTGAAATCTGGCTGTAGTTGTGTAATTGGGGCAACTACGCTCAGCTGTGCTCACTCCTGACTTTTCGGGGGACCAGGTGAACCCTAGGTGAGGCCAGCTGGATCTCTCGGGCCACTTCTCTTCCTTTTTTTGCCCAAGGCCATCATTCGCAACAACAGCAGGGTTCAGTGCTTGGGCAAGGGGCCACACCGGAAGATACTGAGGAGGAGGAGACAGACAGCAGTGCTCGGGTGGGGCCCCACTTCCAGCCCTTTAAGCCATCTCCCCAGGCCTGCATGAGTTTTCCAGAGTGTTTTCCAGGGCTGATGGGATTGATGGGATTACACGGCACGGGGGTGGGGGTGGGGGTGGGGGCAGAGACCTGGAGACTAAAACTCAGCTCCCGAGGAGCTGGAGAGATATCACAGCGGGTAGGGTGTTTGCCTTGCACGCGGCCGACCCGGGTTCGATTCCGGGCGTCCCATATGGTCCCCTGAGCACCGCCAGAAGTAACTCCTGAGTGCAGAGCCAGGAGTAATCGCTGTGCATCGCAAGGTGTGACCGAAAAAGCAAAAAAGAAAAAAAAAAAAACAACTCAGCTCCTGAAAGTGCATGGCCGCATTTGCACTGCACGACATCTTATTATCTTCTTACTTTGGACAACCTGGTAGCCTACTGAATGTAACCTGCCCACACAGCAGAGTCTGGCAAACTCCCCGTGGTGTGTCCAATATGCCAAATACCGGTAACAATAATGGGTCTCATTCTCCTAACCCTGAAAGAGCCTTGAATACGGCACTTTATAAAATCTCAGGGCTGGGGTTGGAGCCATAGCACAGTGGGAAGGGCATTCGCCTTGCAGGCGGCCGACCTGGGTTCGATTCCCAGCATCCCATAGGGTGCCCTGAGCACCGCCAGGAATAATTCCTGAGTTCAGGGCCAGGAGTGACCCCTGTGCATCACCTGGTGTGACCCAAAAAAGCAAAAAAAAAAAAAGCTAGGCCAGCTGCGTTGAAATTCTGGAGCCCTCCTGAGCCTCTCCTCGCTCACCCTTGCACACAACGGACAAAACTCGTGGGCCCTCTCCCCAGCAAGGCCACAAAGCTCCAGCGCACACGGTTCCAGGTTCCAGGGGCTGCCCGGGACGGCCCCGCCTCCCCGCCCAGGGCCCCCTGCTCGGGGCGGGGCTTGTCCGGCTCCTCGCGGCCCCGCCCCCTCCGCACTGACCAATGGGCGCGCGCGCGCCTCCTCCGGGACCGCCTCCGGCATGACGTCATCGTAGGCGACGACGCCCACGGCCCAGCCCAGCTCCAGCCGGAGCCGCTGGGCGAGCGCCCGCGCGAGCGTGGACTTCCCTGCCGCGGGGAGGCCGCAGAGGACGCAGAGCCCTAGTTTCCGCGGCCCCTGGGCGCGCTCGCGCCGGGTCCCCTCGCTCGTCCTCATGCTGCGCGGACGGACGCCCAGTGACCGGCCGCCGCCCGCCCGCCGCGTAGGCGCACGCGCACGCGCACTCGCCGCCTTCCGCCCGCCCGTCCGGGAGCGCCCCCTGCTGTCGCGGCGGGGAACGGCGGCGCCGCCTCCCGGGTCCCCGGGTCGCAGCCTCTGGGCCGGGCCGGGCCGGGCCGGGCCGGGCGTGGCGCGAGGTCCGAGCTGTGCTCCACTGCAGCGCGAGCCGCCCGCCCTCCCCGGAAACGGGCACGGCCGTCGGGGGCTTTGCAACCGCGAAGCCCTTTCCCCGGGACAAAACCCAGAACAGACGCGGAGTCTCCGCCCCAGCGGCCCGGCCGGTGCAGCTGGGTGGGGGACCCGGTCGGGCCCGGCGTTGGCGCCCACCTGCTGCAGGGGCCGCAGGGCCCGGAAGCACAGCCGGGAAGGAAACTTCCAGCAGCGCTGCCGAGGACGGCAGGTGCTCGAGATAGCCCGAGCGATGGGACAGGGGAAGGCGCCTGCCTCGCCCTCGGCCCACCCGGGTTCGGTCCCCGGCCCCTCTGCACCGCCGGGTGTGTCCCCCGAAGTTAACAATAGCCAACTGCTGGGGCTGGAGCAATAGCACAGTGGGTTGAGCATTTGCCTTGCATGCAGCCGACCAGCTGTTCGATTCCCAGCGTCCCATATGGGCCCCCAAACACCGCCAGGTTCCTGAGTGCGGAGCCAGGAGTAACCCCTGAGCATCCCCGGTGTGACCAAAAAAGCAAAGCAAGGGCCGGAGCGATAGCATAGCAGGTAGGGCGTTAGCCTTGCAATGCAGCCGACCTGGGTTCGATCCCCGGCATCCCATATGGCCCCCCAAGCACCGCCAAGAGTAATTCCTGAGTACAGAGCCAGGAGTGACCCCTGAGCATTGCTGGGTGCTATCCTTCTGCAGACATCTGCTCTTTGAGTTAGGGAAGTTCACGGGCACAGTCCTGAAACCCAGACACAGGGCAAGTAACTGAATGAACGTGGCTTATTAGTCCGCTGGGGCCCAGCATGGAGCAGCGCCCAGGGTATACCAGGGCTGGGAGACTGGACACAGGCTCTTCGGTCCAGTACTAGAACCCAGAGCTCTCGGGTGTGTGAGCTTGTGTTTTGCACCCCTGGACGCACTTGCCCCTGTGCCAGGGCTCCACAGCGGAGCTTGCTGGGAAGCGGGCTACCCTTGGCTGTGTTCACAGCTTCCCTCACCCCCTTGGCACCCCGGAGGTCACTCTGTCACAGGGTATTTCCCTCCGGGAGGCTGACAGGTGGGGAGAGTCGTGCTGGTCCATCGCTGGCCTCATGGCCCTTCATCTAACACCAGCAGTCGGTGCTCTGACTAACGTGTCTTTTAATTTTAGTTTGCTTAAAACATCGTGTTTTACAAAGTTGTTCATAATACAGTTGGTAGAGCTGGAGCGATAGCAAAGTGGGTAGGGCGTTTGCCTTGCATGCAGCCAGCTTGGCCGAGCTGGGTTCGATTCCTCCGCCCCTCTCGGAGAGCCCGGCAAGCTGCCGAGAGTATCTCGCCCGCCCGGCAAAGGCTGGCAAGTTCCCCATGACGTATTCGATATGCCAAACACAGTAACAACAAAGTCTCCAATGGAGACGTTACTGGGCCCGCTCGAGCAAATCGATGAACAATGGGAGGACAGTGACAGACAGTGACAGGGTATTCAGTGTTCCAACACCAATCCCACCACCAGTGTCACCTTCTCTCCATCATCGCCCCCAATTTCCCAATCACCCCAGCCTACCCCTTAGGCACAAAATAATTTTATATTGCTTGTTACAACTAAATGGCTAAAGTATTAAAAAAAAACCATACTTCAGTAAAAGAAAATGTGAACATTGTTACATCTCACCGTGGGTCATTAAGTCCTTGTCCGAGGGTTTAACAGGACCCGTAGAACTGGGCCTGTGGATGAGTTCACACAGTGGTGGTGGCTGTCCAGGCTTCCTGAAGGAAGGCGGGGGCAGGTGCCTCTCCTGCTCTCTCAGAGCCCAGAGTTTTCAGCCTGAAAACGGTGAACCTGGAGTTTGGCGTCTCTGCTGAGATGAGTTGTAAAAGCAGTGGACTTGGGTCGTTGGCATGGTGGCATCTGTGGAGTGAGGGTGCAGCTGACGGCTTTGGCCGGGCAGGGACTCGGCAGGGACTCGGTGCCCCTGAGTTCTCCAAGAGAGAACGCTGTACGGGTGAATTTTGCATCCTCTCAGAAATGTAGTCGTGACTCTTAGGGCTGGGGGGGATGGGTAATTTTATATGCCAGTGGCAGTGGGTGTGGCCCCATGGGAGTTTTTAGGCGCAGGCTGTCAACAAAATGGGTATCAGCAAACTGTGACGGGTGGGGGGAGCAGCAGGGCCCAGGCAGAGGGACTGGGTCCACGGGGAGAAAGAAAACACCAGGGACAGGAGTGGGGAGGACCCCAAGGGAGTGGCAGCCGGAAACCACATCCAGGGGCCGGGCTGCAACGATCTGGGGGGAGCGGAGGGTGATGCCCTTGTGTCCTTTCCCCTTTCCATAAAGGGCACGGGCAGCTGACCTGAGCCTCTCCTTCACCGCACATCCAGTCCCTCTGCAATTCCCCGTTTTCACTCCTTCACTCCATTCCGGACTCTGCAAAGTCACAACCTTTTAAGTGTTTGGAAAAAAAAAAAATAACGGTGCCTCACTGTTTTGAAATTCAGAGTTTTAATTTCGTATTTCACACCCTCAGCGGGAACCTAGATACCAAGCACCCAAATACATTGTGTGTGTGTGTAGAGTGCTCAGCTGTTACCTGGCTCCTAGCGCAGAGGTCTCTTCTGGGGAGGGGACAGGGGCAGGGGACTCTAATGGGGTGCTGAGGATCAAATTGTTCTATTGCTCCGGCTCCAAATACATTTAATATCGAAGCACTGAAAGAGGGGTAGGTAAATCATCTCCATACACGCTGTATCCTTCACAATCCCGCCTTCATTCATCTCTTCGACAGCTAAGTCCAGAAGCGTTTTTAAGCTAGAAAAAGGGTATGTCAGTTGTGATCATTGGAAACCTATGTCCGTGCCCACTTAGATGGCTAAGAATCATCACTGCATCTATTGTGATTTTCATTTTGGGGGCCACACCCAGCTATGCCCAGGGATCAGCTATGGTGGGGCTCAGGGGCACAAACCCGAATGGGCTTTGTAAAGCAAGTGCCTTCCCAGGCGTCCTGTCGCAGGGTCCAGGGGCCACTGGCTTTCACTGCTGAGTCAGCTTACTCATCCTGCAGGTGGTGCTACAGCTTTTTTTGGGGGGGTGGGGGGGAAGGTCACACTCGGCAATGCACAGGGGTTACTCCTGGCTTTGCACTCAGGAATCACTCCTGGCGGTGCTCAGGGGACCATATGGGATGCTGGGAATCGAACCCGGGTCGACCACGTGCAAGGCAAACGCCCTCCCCGCTGTGCTTTTGCAAACTGCGGTGCCAATGCAATAATGAAGGCAACAGTGAACCCCCCCAAAGCGACTCCAACCGAAGACATCCAGTGTCCATGTGCTTTTCTCCCACGTGCAACACGACCTGAGGACACAGGTCATCCCCGTTGAGGGTTTTAACTGTCAGACTCAAATCTGAGGGGTGTCTCGGGCACATGCCGGGGCGCAAACCCCAACCCACCGCCCCGCCGGGCGCCCCCACCCTCCTCCCGCCGGTCCCGCAACCGCCGTCCCGCTCGCCGCCTCCGCCGCCCGGTTGCAACGTCCCAAACCGCCTCGGCTCCCCGCGAGCCCCTCCCCGTACGGCGCATGCGCGCAGCTGCGGCCCCGCCCCCTCCGAGCGAGCGCTGCCCGTACAGTGCGCACGCGCGGCCCCGCCTCCGCGCCGCTCTCCCCCAACCGGCTCCCGGGAGAGGGGCGGGGCCTCGCGGCGTGCGCGTGTCCCCGGAGCCCGCCCCTCCCCACCGCCCCAGGCCGCGGGTGCGCGCGCACATTCAGGCCGGCGGGCCGGAAGTGGCGCGGGAGGTGGGGTCCGTCCGCGCCCGCCGCCCCGGCGGAAACGCGAGCGCCGGGAGACGCGTTCCGCCCGGGGCGCAGCGGGGCGCAGGCGGCGGCGGCGGCGGCGGGATGGAGGCCGGGTCCGAGGCCGCGGCCCCGAGCCGCCTCCCGGCGCTGGCGTCTTCGTGGGCCGCCACCCGCGGGTCCCTGGCCCGGAGCCTCCGCGTCAGCCGGGCGGGCGCGGCCTCGGCCGGGGAGCCGGACTGCGACGAGCTGCTGGCGCCGGCGGCCCCGGGGTGCGCCCGGCGGGACGGGCGGGGGCGGGGGCGCGGGGCGGGCGCGGGGCGGGGGGCTGCGTGGGGGGCCGCGGGAGGGTCCCGGGAGGGTCCCGGGGGGCTGCCGGTGCCGTGCCGCCCGGCCCGACCCTGCTGTCCCGCAGCCAGGACGTGGTGGTGCTGCGCCGCGCCGAGGGGCAGCCCTGCTTCCTGGACGTGCGCTGCCCGCCCGGGGCCGGCGAGGAGCTGCTGGCCGTGGGCGTGCTGAGCTCGGCCCGCAACATGGAGGTGTACCAGGCCCACGGGTACTGCGGCACCGCCCGGGGCCGGCCCGTGGGCGCCGCGCCCGCCTCCCTGCACAGGTGCGTGGTCGCCCGGGGCGCGCGCGGGACCCCCCCCCGCACGCGCCCCTCCCCGCCCCCGCCCGCCGCCTCCTTAAGTGACCCCATCCCGGCCGGAGAGGTCTCGGGGGCACCTGAGTGCAGCCCGCTGGGGCCCCGAATTTGCAGGGGCCTCGCTCAGAGCACCCCCAGGAGTAACAACTCCCAGCACGCTGGGTGTGGCACGCGCCGGAGCCAGGAAGGTAACAAAGTAGCAGAAACGAGCGGTTGACTCTTCGGTGCTCCTGGGGCTGGAACCCAGGGTGTCTCCCACGCGAGGGGAATTCGGAGCCGCATTCCAGGCGCAGGGCACAGAACTGGAGAATCTGGGCAGTGTTTTTGGTTGGTTTGTTTGTTTGGGGGCCACACCCTGTGATGCTCAAGGGTTACTCCGGGCTCTGCACTCAGGAATTCCTTGCGGTGGCATATGGGCTGATGTGCAGGGTGGAAGCCTGCCGGTCAGTGGGCAAGGCCAGCGCCCACGCAGCTCCGCGGATGGCTCTGGCTCAGCTGTTTCTCGTTTCAGGGGCTCTGGAGAACCTTAGGGGCCATAGATTTCGAGGGGGGCATAGATGAAAGTCGTGCAGATGGTGGGGGACATTGGCAAAAGATGAGGGGGCCAGCCAGTAGAATAAGGGTCACACAGGAAGGAGCAAGGTCAGGAGGCGGCCCTGGTGGCTGAAATGCTGAGAAACACCGTTTGTTTGAGGTCGTTTCTCATTTTTCATCTCACAGTTTAGTGCTGCCGGAGAGAGCATGGTACCAGCTATTGGACTTTGTAGACGGGACCAGATGTTGTCACACCCAGCGATGCTCAGGGCTGACTCCTGGCTCTGCACTCAAGAATCACTCCTGGCAGTGCTCGGGGGACCATGTGGGATGCTGGGAATCGAACCCAGGTCGGCCGTGTGCAAGGCAAACACCCTGCCCGCTGTGCTATGGCTCCAGTTCCCAGATGTTGTTCTTAATGGTGCCTCTTGGCTCCATGAACTCACAGTGGCTTATTTTCCAGTAGTCTCTGGGGCTGGAGAGAATACAGCAGGGAGGCGCTTGCCTTACACATAGCACACCTGGGCTCAAGCTCTGGCACCCCAGGTGGTCCCCTGAGCATCTCCAGGAGTGATCTTTGTGAACAGAGCAGGAGTTAGGATTGAGCACCACCAGGCATCCCCCCCTCCCCTCCAAGAAACAGAAACCCACGGTCTATTTTTAAAAAGCCAGTGTGGAAATGTATCTGTTTTTTATCTTTTACCCAGTGCTAGTGGTCTAACCCAGGTCTCCTCCAGGCTGGGCATGTGCTTGACTGACCATCGGGCCATGTTCCCAACTCTGTCATTTTTTTTAATTATGTTTTTGAAAGGAAACTCCATACTGGAATGCAGGCCCAAAGTCAGGCCTCACCAGCCCAATTCAGTCTGTAAATTTGCCTGTGTGGGTACGATACTTCGCCAGTTCTTATATGAAGATCTGACCCTAAGATCTTCATGGAGCTCACGAATGGACGATTTGGGGCAAAGCGGGTAGGTAGGGCACTTACACTCCAGGTGGTACACCCGGGTTTAGTCCCTGACAACTCATGGTTCCCTGAACCCCACCACTAGTGATCCCAGAGCACAGAGCCAGGAGTAAGCCCTGATCACTGCCACATGTGACCCAAAGTTGGAAAAAAAAAACCCAAAAACCTCGTTTTATGTATTAATGCTTATTGTAATTTTTTTTTTTTTTTTGCTTTTTTGGGTCACACCCGGGCATTGCACAGGGGTTACTCCAGGCTCTGCACTCAGGAATCACTCCTGGCAGTGCTTGAGGGACCATATGGGATGCTGGAGATCGAACCTGGGTTGGCTGCGTTCAAGGCAAACGCCCTACCCGCTGTGCTGTCGCTCCAGCCCCCTGCTTATTGTAATTAGTAGCCACGTTTATTGCGCTTTATTGTTTATCCCAGGATGTTGTGTAGTTCTCTCATTATAGAGCAGGCACAGGGCTGCTATGGAACCCGGGGACAGATCCAGCCTCTTGTCCTTTGGCAGATGAGGTGGCTCAGGACCGAAGCCATGGTCTTGGAACAGAACTTTCTCTCTGTGTGTGCCGGGAATTGAACCCAGGACCTCACTTGAGGCTTTTTTTTTTTTCAAAGCTTTCTGGGTCACACCTGGCCATGCACAGGGGTGACTCCTGGCTCTGCACTCAGGAATTACCCCTGGCGGTGCTCAGGGGACCAAATGGGATGCTGGGAATCGAACCCGGGTTGGCCGCGTGCAAGGCCAACGCCCTACCCGGCTCCCTCACTTGACGCTTTGACCCCACTTGGAGCCACGTCCCAGCCCCCAGCGATTCATTCTCTTCCCCTTCCCTTCATTGCAGTGGTCACTGTGTCGACCCAAGGGCCTCCGTTTGAGTTCCTGGGAGCTGGAGATGCCAAAGGGATCCCGGGTGTAAAGCCAGGGGTCAGACTTGAGGCCTCAGCCCCACAAAACCAGCTCTGTATGGCCCAGCCCTGTTTTTCCTTTTTCTTTTTTTTTCTTTTTTTGTTTTTGCGGGAGGCTGGGGAGTTGGACCACCCGCAGGGAAGCTCAGGGCTGCCTCCTGGCTCTGCACTCAGGAATTACTCCCACCAGTGCTCGAGGAACCATAGGGATTGCTGGGGATCGGACCCCGGTGGACTGCGCACAAGGCAGGTCCCCTCCCCGCGGTACTATCACTCTGGCCCCAGATTCTTTTTCTTTGCTTTTGTGGCACCAGGACTTGAAATGTAGGACCCAACACGTGCAGGGCAAGTGCGCTCCCTCTGGGCTACCTCTCCAGTCCCTAGCGATTCATGTTTAATATGAGGCATTTATAATCTGGAAAAGTAAACATTTGCTTTCTTTTTATTTTCAGTGAAAATGAAATCGTTTTCTACAAAAAATATTTAAAATTGGAGCCCTCCACTAATGCTTGTAAAATAAAGGTAAGTCTCCTTTAAATTTCACCCAACTCGGCAGCATTTTTTTTTTTAACCTCATTTAAACACGGTGGTTTACAAAGTTGTTCATGATACAGTTGTTACTATATGTTCGGACACAAATCCCACCACCAGAGGGACCTTCCCCCCACCATTGTCCCCACTTCCCAACCTCCTCCCCAGCGGCCCCCCTTAGCAGGCAGACTGTTTTTTTTTTTATACTGCTTTTTACAAATAATGGAATTATCAAAAATACTTGAGTAAAAGAAAATTTCTGAACATTATTGTACACAGTAACAACAAGTCTCACAATGGAGACATTACTGGGCTCCCTCAACCAAATCGATGAATGGAGGGAGGACAGTGACAGTGATTGCATTTCCCCGTGGGGTCCTTAAGTACTTTTCCCCGAGGGTTTACTAAGCTGCCGTGTTGCTAGTTGCGGCTTCTGTATTACTATGTTTGTGGCATGTTTGGTTCTGTGTCTCTGCAGAGAATGATGGTGCCGTGGAGTGGGGCCATTGGCATGGTGGGTGTGGGTGCAGCTGCTGGGGCCCCTCCCGAGGGCACCCCTGAGTTTTCAGCTGGGAGTCTCGTGTGCCTTGAGTTTCAGTGGCTTGGCCCTCCGTTTCTCCTGAGAGTCATGAATCTGAGCAGGCCTGGAGGGTCAGTGGACACGACTGCAGCTGTGGGATGTTGACCAGCCGGCAGAATTTTATACAATTTTTTTTTTTTTTTTTTTTTTTTTTACTTTTTTGGGTCACACCCAGCAATGCACAGGAGTTCCTCCTGGTTCATACACTCAGGAATCACTCCTGCGGTGCTCGGGGGACCCTACGGGATGCTGGGAATCGAACCCGGGTCGGCCATGTGCAAGGCAAACGCCCCACCTGCTGTGCTATTGCTCCAGCCCCTACAAACGTTTTTGCATAGGCGCATACGCTGCCCGAGCCCATGTGCTGCTTGTGCACACGTGGCCGGACACATGCGTCGCCCGCATCTCCCCTCTTGAGATGTGTCCTTTCGTGCTTTCGTGTCTAATGCTAGGATGTGTGTAGGGGCTCTCTCTGTCCTTGGAGAAGCCCGTGTTCTCTCTGGAGTGCGTGTCTGTCTGTCTGTCTCTCTCTCCCCCCTCCACAACTTAAAATCCCTCCAAATAAAATCTGTTTGCTTAAAAAAAATGTTTTTGCATAAACAAAATGACAGGTCATCTTTTGTTGCTTTCAGGCATCCAGTCTGAAAGCAACATATAAATACATACATACAATAATACATACAATAATCCCTCCACCTGAGTCCCCTTCCCCGCCCCCAAGCCTGCCTCCAGGCCTAACACCTTCTCCCTCCCCCCCGCCCCCCCCCCCCCCCCCCCACATACACACACACACACACACACTGGTGCAGATTTACAGTCCTTTTCACAATCCTGCTCCTGGTCGGGTATCATGCTGATCACGTTTCCCCCTTCCAGCCCGTCTTCCTCCAGCCTCCAGCGTGACCTCTCCCCTTCACCGTCGTCACTGTGGTCCATCGCCGCCTCCCACTCCCCCGGCCCACACCCCAGTGGTCATTTCCCCCCCGCGAGACCAGTTGTCCTGCTCTTCATTTCTGTTGCCTGTGGGCATGCCTGCTCCTTTGTTTCTTTTTGGCCCACCTTGAGCGATCGTCTGTGTGGTGCCCCAGCCCCTTGGCAGCTGATCCTGTGGCTCATCCCGCCCCCCCCACCCCCAGCCCAGCAGTGCCCCATCCTGTATGTGGACCCGAGTTTATTGTCATCTGTTCTTGGCCACTCGGGTTGCTTCCACTTTGTTTGGTTTTGGTTGGGGGGGGGCCACACCCGGAGGGGCTCAGGGTCGCTCCTGACTCTGCACTCAGGCCTCACTCCTGGCTGGCTCAGGCGACCGTTTGGGACGCCGGGGATTGAACCCAGGTCAGCCTCATGCAAGGCAAACACCCTCCCTGGTGTACCCGGGTTTCCAGATTTTCACCATTGTGAAGGGTCGATCTTGGCTTTTATATATGAACCTGGGGATCTTTTAGAGTACTCAGACCTCCTTTTATTAATTCTAAATTCCAAAAGACTGGCTTCAAATGCTCGTAATACTCTGTTGAATGGTGCGCTTGTGAGCTTTCTACTAGAAGGTCTCAGATGACTTTGTTGTATTTTCATTCCCAAGTTAAAATTTCACTTAGTATATTCTGAATATTTTAGTTTGAAGATGGTCATTTTCCTTTGTAGGATTAGGCACTGCCTTGCACGCTGCTAACTGGGTTCAGTCCTGGCACCATAAAAACTGAGCCCCACACACAGAACCAGGGATAAGTCTTGAGCACAGGCAGGGGTGCCCAGAAAGCAAAAATCAAACCAAAAAGTTCTTGATTGCTTTTCTGGCTACTGTCCTGTTAATTTATCTTAAAAATGAACTTATGGCCAAGAGCTGGTGGAGATGTTAAGACGTAGTATTCCATGTGGCCAGCTTCTGTTCAGCGCCTGGCACCAAATGTGCACAGTCCCCTAAGCACCGGCAGAAGGGACCCCGGGAACAGAGTCCCAGGTAGCCCCTGAGCAAGGTGAGGTTGGAGCCCTAACCTTCCAACGCCAGTTGAAAAATGGTGGCGGTTATTCAAGCCCTTGTTCTCCCTTGGACACGTCCCTCGCCTGCGTCTGTTGCTGTGCTTATTTCCACTCTGGGGAAGCCCATGTTTGTGCTCGAAAGGCATTTCACGTGTTTCTAAAAAATACTCAGATGGGGCCAGAGCGACAGCACAGCGGGCAAGGCGTTTGCCTTGCATATGGCCCACTTGGGTTTAGACTCATACGGCCGCCAGGACTAATTCCTGAGTGCAGAGCCAGCGGTAACCCTGAGCATCGCCGGGTGTGACCCAAAAAGCAAAGAAAACAAAAAGTTTCAACTAAAGTGATTGTTAACATTTAATAATCTGGTTTGGAATCCTGGTGTGTCTTCACAGCTGCTCTCGCTCGGGGAACAGCCCTGCGTGTGCATCAGCACTGTTGGGGTACACCTGAGGCGGGTGGCCCCCGAGGCCTCCCCGGGCACCCCGCCTCTGAGCTCCACGACCGAACTGGAGCGTATCCAGACCCTCGTGGCCACCATGGGCTCCAAGCTGTCGCCCGGCGCGCAGCAGCTGATGAGCGTGATGAAGTTCCAGCAGCAGGTGGGTCACGCCAGGACGTGCGGCCGCCTCCCGGGTCCCGGGTCCAGGGCGGGTGTCGGCCCAGCAGACTCTGGGCTCCGCCTCTGCGGGCACTGCTCCGGGCGCCTAGGAGGGAGGACAGTGGGGCTGGAGCGAGGGTCGGGGTCCCCGCGGGAATGGAGGGAGCCAGTGGCGCGTGCGGCCGGGAGACACACGGGCTCTGTGGGGGCGCCGGGGGGGAGGAGGGAGACCCAGCACAGGCACAAGAACCGGGGAGTGACGGGGAAGGCAGCGACGCCTCAGCAAGGCCTCACCTGACCAGAGACGGATGGCATGAGGCCTGGAGACAGGAAGCGTTTTTGGAGAAAACCGTGTCCCCTCCCTGCAGAGAGCCCAGGGGCGGGGGCATAGCCCAGCGGGGAGGGCACTCGCCTTGCACGCAGCCGACCCGGGTCCACCCCGGCATCCCAGACGGTCCCGGGCACTGCCTAGAGTGATTCCTGAGTGCGGAGCCTGGAGTCGCCCCGAGCATCGCAGGGGAGGGGCCCCACAGGCCAAGGCTCGTAGCTCTGGAGGAGACTGGGCAGCGGCATGGGGAGGGACGGGGCTGGCCCAGCGGCTGTGGGGGGCGCGCCCAGAGCTGGGGGAGTTCCGACATCAGAGCCCACTGCCGAGTGAGGATCAGGCTCGGGGTGGGCTGGGTCAGGGGTGCCCGGCCCACACTCCAACAACATCCCGCTCCCCCCTCCCCCGCCTCCAGCCTGACGTCCCCCGCGGCTTCTGTGGGCCCTGGACGTGTGTCCACCCTGCCCTGGCCATAACCACCCTCCTCTGCCCCCCTAGAACCATCTGCCCCTCGGAGAGCAGCTGTGGGCTATCCTGGGGAACGCGGCCCCCGACCAGCGTGCCCCTGACCCGCAGCCCGGCCCAGCCCCGGGCGCGGCCGAGAAGGTGTCCTGCACGCCGTTCCCCTTCAGAGCCGGGCTGGCCTCCGCGCACGCCGCCGAGGAGCCGCCTGTGTCCCCAGGCCCGGAGCCAGCCCTGCTGGAGGCCAGCCTGAGAAGGGCCGTGTCCACCCTCCCACCCAAGAATGCCGGCGTCCACTGCAACGGCCCCGGCCCTGGCCCCGACCTGCTGCCCTTCCTGCAGGACCTGTGCAGCCAAGTCAGCCACCTGCGGGCGGGGCCCAAGGCCAAGTGGCAGGAGCCGCTGCCCGGGGCGCGGGACGGCCTCGCCGGGCTGAAGTGAGTCTCGGGGTCGGGCTTAGCTCGCTGCCGCCAGATGGGGCAGGGCTTCGCGGGGTCTCACGGCCACGGCCTGGAGATGCTCTGGGGGCGGGGGAGGGGGGCGCACTTGCCTTAACCCACGGATGACCCGGGTTCGACCCGAGGCCCCATTTGGTCCCCCAGTCGCTGCCAGGAGAAGTCCAAGCATTGCCAGCTGGGGTCCCCCCACCCGAAAAAGGACCAGAAACAGCTTCTTGACCAAAGAGCTTTTCTCCTGGTCTAGCCCATTAGCTCAGTGACGGGGTGATTTGGCCGAGCATCACTGCTCTGAGGCAATGCCTGAGGTGGAGGTGGGGGTGGGGGTGGGGGGTGGCGCAGCGGGCAAGAACCTGATGGTGATACCGGAGCCCCTGGTTCACGCCCCGGCATGCTCCTGAGTTACCCCGAGCACTGAGCCTGGAGTCGCCCCCAGAGAGCCCCGAAATCCCTTGGCTTTGGTCTGGTCGGGGAAGCGTGTCCTCGTGACCTTCTCTTTGGAGGTTCTCCGTGACCTCCGATAATTTGGACTAGTCCAGAGTGTAATCTGCTGGTCACTATTTGTAGGGCGACGGCTTAGCCCTTGGCTGTGTGTCCCTGTGGCTTGGCCATCGGTTGGTGAAATGTTTGAGCAGTCCCTGTCCCATGGCCACGGCCCGGGGGTCAGCGCCGTGTTCTCGCCTGAAGGCAGAACTGTGCTCTCCCTGGGCACGCCCCGGCCGTGGTATCCAGCCCGCAGGGACTCGGAGTCTGTCTGAGAGGGTTGTGCGGGGCGGGACGGGGTGGGCGCCCGCCCTCAGTGGCCCTGCGGGAGGGTCCCAGAGACGGCAGGGCCCTGCCCCCACCTGCCCCCACCTGCCGCCTTTGGCCTCTGGCCTGCCGTGGCTGCTGGTGGGGGGGGCAAGCCCTCGCCGACCCCCGTTCCCCGCGTACCCGCAGGCCGGAGGAGCCGCCCGTGTGCGCGCAGCTGGAGAGGATCCTGTGCCGGAACCTGGGCCTGCTGGAGAGACAGCTGCGCGCCCACATCGACGAGCGGCTGCTGCGGCTGCAGGAGCACCTGGACGACAAGCTGGCCGCGCTGCTGGCCGCGCTGCAGAGCCCCGCCTGCCCGCCCGAGCCCGCCTCGCCTGCGCCCGCCTCGCCTGCGCCCGCCGCGCCGCTGCCCCGCTGGGACTCAGGGGAGAAGCTGTCCAACGGGGAGAGGTGAGGGCCCGGCCCGGCCCGGCCCAGATGCTGCTCGGCCCGTGTGGGTGCCGCGGCCCTCGGCGGGGAGCCGGTTGCCGTGTCCCTGAGTCTCTTCTGTTCCCCGGGAGTGAGCGACCTCAGGGTTTGAGCCGTGCTCGTCGCTGTAACCCAAGGGGCAACATTGTCTCACCACGGACTCTTTGTTAGTGAGGTTTTTCACTTTTGTAAAAAAAAGAAAAAATTTACATATATGTCTATGTTTACAGTTTTCGAGGATTTCTGATGAAATTTATTTGTATTGCATGTGTGTTTGAAGTACTGTTCTAATTTATACAAAAACTTTCTAGTTTGAGCGGTACAAGTGTACTGAGAGTATTTGCTATTTTTGTAAGTGATCTTTGAAAACTCGTACTTAAGACTTGGTACCTTGAATTTCAGATCACTAACTTAGACTTTATTTTAGAGTAACAGAAATAGATCTGGGGCTCGAGAGGCCGCCCACAGGGTCGGCGTGCGTGCCTCCCGTGCGGGAGCCCGGGCCTGCCCATCCCCGTCTTCTCGCCCCGTCTCCTCGGGAATGACCCCGACGCCAAGCCCAGTGTGGCCCTGAGCACTGCCAGGTGGGCCCCCGAGCAGAAACAAAGGGAAATTAGAGCTGATGTTTGACGCCTTTGACACTGCGCCTTGGGGTTGTTTCGTGTTCTGGTGGGGACGTGAACAGCCGACCTGGCCTGGTCCCTGTTCGATCGATCGTTTTACATTTACTGTTTGATGTGAAAGACAGCGAGTGACGTCACCGCATCTGACTTCGCCCCCTCCAGGCCCACCCAGGCTCTTGGCAGAACCTTTTCTGGGGCGGGGGAAGGGCGAGGTGCTGAGGCGCCCCCTGACGCCAAGGTGTGGGAGTTCAGGAGCTTTGGGCCCGAATCTTCCAGAAATGTTGGCTCTTGTGTTTGTGGTGAAGGGCAAGATGTTTACATTTCAAGAATAAATGACTTGGGAGCCGGAGTATGTAGGTATTTGCCTTGCATGTGGCCGACCCGGTTCAATCCCTGACAACCCGTGTGGTCCCCTGAGCCCCGCTGGGAGTGATCCCTGAGTGCAGAGCCAGGAGTAAGCCCCAAGCACAGCCGGGTGTGGCCCCCAAACCAAATAAAAATAAATAAAAGTCTTGGTTCTCAAAACTATGACAGCTGAAAGAACTTCTTTTGTCAGGATTTCAGATGTTCTGCGCCATGGTGTGGGTCTTGCTTGAGAAAGGACCTGAGTGACGGGTCGTGTGTTTGTGTTCACTGGCGAGCACCAGCCTTCGTGCGGGGCCTGCAGGGTCCACTCCCCGGGCCCCTCTGTGTCTCGGGCATGTGTCCCTGGGAGTGTCGCCCTTCGTGGCTCCTCCCTACCGTCACAGTGTCCCGGAAGAACATAACACTGTCTTCTATTCAATGATTCAGATCAAGACTGCTCTCAGGCCGGAGCAATAGGACAGTGGGTAAGGCCGACCCGAGTTTGATCCCTGGAATCCCATATGGTCCCTGGAGCAGTGCCTGGAGTAACTACCCCTGAGCATCACTGGGTGTGACCCCAAAACCCCAAAGAAAATGAAAGTAAAGGTGTCAGAGCCATCGTACAGCAGGCAGGGCGTTTGCTTTGCATGTGGCCGACCCAGGTTCAATCCCCGGCCTCCCATACGGTGCCCCAAGCACTGCCAGGAGTAATGCCTGAGTGCAGAGTCAGGAGGAACCCCTGAGCAGCATCACTGGGTATGACCCAGAAAGGAAAAGAAAAAGCGAATAAAGACCTTATTCTCGGCTTCGGGGTAGAAATTGTTCTGATGAGCTTCTCCCTCTCTCTGATCACTACCCTAATAATTCTCGGGTAAGTGAAGACCTAAATTATGTCCCTCCACCCCCGGGGCCTCCCCATGCCCAGCAGCTGCTCTGCCTCTCAGCCACAGCCCTGGCCCCCAAGCTTAATTCTGGAGGGGCCACACTCAGCAGTGCTCACGCTTTACTCCTGGCCCTGCACTCAGGAATCACTCCTGGGAGTGCTCGGGGGACCATGTGGGATGCCGGGGATCGAACCTGGGTCAGCCACATACAAGGCAAATGCCCTGCCTGCTGGACTATCTCCAGCCCCTAGACTAACTTCCCTGTCCTGGGCGCGTGTGCCGTTGCTTTTCGTGGAGCTGGAGGCCCCTTCCCGCCCTCAACTCTCAGGCCTCAGTGAGCACACACTGGCCGTGCGTGGCACGGTCCTGGGCACCCCCTTCCCACCCCTGCTGGCCTCGCTGCCACAGTCTCCGCAGTTCCTGCCTCCCCTCCGGGTGAGTGCCCCAAAGGCAGCCGCTGGCAGCTGACCCAACGGGTGGGCAGGAAGCCCTTTGCAAGCCTGCAGATCAGGCTGGGGCTTGGGCGCATGTCAGAGGGGTTTGAGGGAGACGGGACAGCTGGGGATTGTCAGCACAGGGGGGCGACGGCCTGGCCAGGAGCGCAGCGTCCGTGGCCTCTGGGCCTCAGCAGAGACCAGCAGGATACAGAGCCGGCTGGACGCCACCACCTGCCTGGCCCCCTGCAGGCCCCGTGCCCTTCTGTCTTGCAGCTCGTACCCTGGTGTGCTGTGACCCCAGTTCGAATTCCCAGTACTGCACGGGGCCCCTGAAGGCCGCCATTGCTCATTCCTGAGCACAGTTCCAGGAGTAGCCCTCAGGCACTGCCCGGTGTGGCTCAGAACCTCTCCCTGCAAAACCTGCAGGGAGGGAACAGTGCCCTCTGTGGCCCCATCCCAGGGGAACGACAACAGAAACCCTGCAGATGTGTAAGTAAAACCTGGGGCATCGCTGACGGCCTCGTCTGAGGGGAGCCATGGCACTGACCCTCTGCCCTGTGGCCGGGCGCCCGTCCACCCCTACCCCCCGCCACCCCTCGTCCACTTACTCTTAGTCCACACGTCTCAGTGCCTCGGCCAGCTGTGGTTCGCCAGGGTGCAGGGAGAACTGTCCAGAGCCACTTGGTGGGCCGGGTCTTCCCACCTGGGCAAGATCAGGGCTGAAGGGCCCCTGGGTCCCTGGTGCGGGCGGCCTCTGTACCTCTGAGCTACCCAGTGAGGGGGGCCCCCCGGTCAGTGCTCTGAGGCTGGAGCCCAGATGGGTGGAAGGCACGTCGGGGTGCTCTGGGCCCCCCGGAGCTCCCTCCCAGGAGAGGGGCTGATGTCACAATGTGGCCTGGAACTTGGAACTGGACGGGGCGCTGAGGGCCGGCGCCTGGACCCACTCCCTCTGCCTGCACGCCCGCTCCAACGTGAGCGAGCTTGTGCCCTAGAGCCTGTCTCTCACAGTGCCCCATCTGCATGGTCGAGCCGTGGTGAGTAGGCGCCTGGCCTGGCCACGGACCCCTCTGAAGTGTCAGATGGGGCGACTGACGACCAGGACCAGGTGGGTCTCCTGGGTGGGTCAAGAGGGGAAAGATGGCACACGGCGAGAGACAGGTGCCCCCCCCCTCGCCACCCTGCCCCAGGCGCGGCCCCCTAATCAGGGCTGGCAGCAAGGCTCAGGGCTGACTCCCTGCTCCTTGCTCAGGGATCACCCTGGGTGATGCTGGGGAGGCCGGATGCGGTGCCGGGGGCCCTGCCCACTCTGCTGCCTCTCTGACCTCCTTTATGGGGCCCTTTAGGGGGTGAGAGGTGACGCCTTGCACGCAGTGCGGCCTAGCTCCTCCCCAGCACCCAGGAGTGATCCCTGAGCACTGCAGGGCTGCCTCCCCCCCAAAAAGGGTAGGGGTGAGAGAAAGCTGCCCTGGAGTATCACAGAAGGGATGCGCATTGGCCCAGCTCTCTGGGTGGGGGTTCCTCTAAAATCACTTGACCAACAGCTGGGGGGCAGTTCTGCCTCTGTCTGGGACCCGATTCCAGGCGGGATCACTGGGGGTGGAGCCTGTCCCCCTTCCCCTTCCCTCCCCCTCCCCCTCCCCCTCCTCTCCTCCTTCTCTCCCTCTCCCCTTCTCCCCTCTGGTTGGCGCTGCATGTCCTTCTCTCCCTTCCTCCACAGAGGTGGCTCCCAGCCCTTAGGCCACGGGGGTGGGGGGTTGCCTCAGGGAGGACCAGGTCCTTGACCGGGGGCCTCCTTACTGTGGGAGCCCCCCCCACCACAGGTGTGTCTGACAATGCTAGACTTCAAGATCATGATCGCCATCGGGGGCGGCCTCCTGGTCGCCTTGTTTGTGCTGCTGATCGTGGTCATCTGTCTTTACTGCAAAGTGGCCAGGGCCCTCAGGTCAGTGGGGACGCCCCTCAAAGGGCCTGGCGGTCACCGCCCTTCCCCGAGCGGGCCCTCGAAGCCCTGCAGACCGGAGGCCCCGGGGCAGGCTGTGGGAATGGGGCGGGGGCGGCCTCCTGATCGCCCAGAGCTGAGTGGCCATGGGGACCCAGAAGGACCCATCCTGGCACGAGGGGCCACTGAGCTGTGGGCAGGGCCGGGGGCACCCGCATGGGCTGAGGGTCAGACCCGAGTCCATGCGATTCGGGAGAGAGACAGTTGTCAGGAGAGGGCGTCCCAGGAGTGAAGCCGTGAGCAGGAAGGTGGACCCCCAGGTGGACCCCTGGGCCCTGCCTGGCCACCCTGCCCAGCCCTACCCCGTGACCTGGCTCTCCAGGCTCTGACGGGAGGCCCGGGGGTGCCTGGGGCAGGACTGAGCACAGCACCCCAGGGTCCAGCTCCCCTTTGCCCAGGCCCAGCCGTCCCCGGGGGCACGGGAGACTGACAGGCAGTGTTTGTCCCTTGTCCAGTTCGCCAAAGGTCTCCAAGGACATGATCCTGACCACTACTGGCTGCTACCCGGCGGCCACCATCCCGGCCTGTGACGAGTGCAACATCTACGCGGACATGGACCCGCTGCTGCCGTGTGTGTGTGACACCAACGAAGGCCTCTGAGGGCGCCGCGCTGCTCCGAGCCGAACTCCTGCCCCAGAACGGACCCCGTTCTCGGCGCGCTCCCTACTTTGGACTTTTTTTAATGTGCCCTCTGACATATTTATGTGCTTTTGAATGAATGCGTGATGGCCAAAAGAACCCAGCGCGCCCACGGTTGCTGCCGCTGGCGTGGACGGGTGCACGGGGACGGGGAGCAGCCCGGGGCAGGCGACAAGCCTCACCGTCAGACGTGCAGGATCTAGAGAGAGCGGGCGAGGACGGGGTCCGGCTGGCAGCGGGCGGGCCGCGCGGGGCTGGGGACGGATAAATAAAGGTATTTGAGAACGAACTTGGCAGCCGCCGCCTAAGGTCAGAGGGGCCGCTGGGGTCTCCAGCGGGGACACACTCACTCTTCCCTGGAGCCTCATTCCGGCTGGATCTGGAGGGGTGAGGTGGGGCCTGGGGTGACTCCCATTGGGGTGCTCGGGGCCTGTGAACCGTGCCAGGTCTGCAGCCGGGGTTGGCTGCATGCATCACCCGGTCTTAACCCCTGTTCGTCTCTTGGGGGCCGCCTGGCTGAACTCGGTATCCGAACTGCAGTCTCAAGAGGGGGGACGTTGGGGCTGGAGCAATAGCACAGCGGGTAGGGCGTTTGCCTTGCACGAGGCGGACCCGGGTTTGATTCCCAGCATCCCATAGGGTCCCCCGAGCACCACCAGGAGTGATTCCTAAGTGCAGAGCCAGGAGTAATCCCTGAGCATCGCCGGGTATGACCCAAAAGGCAAAAAAAAAAAAAAAAAAAAAAAAAAACAAAGGAGAAAAAAAAGAGGGGGAATGCAGACACCTTGGGTTGGGGTTTCACGGGTTCGGGGCTCACACCGTGTTGGGCACGCGCTTTACACTCTGGGCACTCCCATGGCTCGGGGGCAGCGACTCAATGCTGGCCTGGCCACCTCGAGGCCCTCAGGGCAGAGATGGATCCTGGATCCTCCACCCGGATGACACCCAGGTCACTCACTGACCCCGGGAAGAGGCCTGAACACCTAGCACAGAGCAGCAGGTCCTGGTCATGTGCTTGCTGCGGGGTAGGGGTGGTGGAGAGGGGAACATTCTCCCGGGCGCCCCGAGGCCGAGGCTGGGAGGGACAGGACAGGGTGGGGAGCACAGGGGACAGCGGGTGTCCGGGGCGGCCGGCCTGTGTCTGATTCGTTACGGGCTCACGTCTAGGGCCAGGACAACAGCGTTCCCACCAGGGTCACCAGTCCTGATACTCCGCAGGCGTGGCTGGCTCTCGGGCTGGAGATGAGCCCCGGTGCCTGCTTTTGGGGGCTCAGATTCCTTCGAGAAAACTCTAAGCACGGCCCTTCGCAGACTTAACCAAACATCAGTCAAGTGGGGGGGGAGGGGCTGGGGGCCAGGAGGATGCGCCCTTGGCAAGCCTGGTGTCACTACCACCACCTTCAGAAGACACACAGGATCAGCGAGGTGGCAATGGCTTGCGGACTGGGGGCCATGTCTCCGGGACAGCTCTGAGCCAGCACCCTATACGCACCAATGCTGTGAGGGGCGGGACTGGAGGGGCACCTCTCAGATGACCCCGCATGACTCAGGACCAAATATTTGTGCTCTTGGGGCTGGAGCAATAGCACAGCGGGTAGGGCGTTTGCCTTGCACACAGCCAACCCGGGTTCAGTTCCCAGCATCCCATATGGTCCCCTGAGCACCGCCAGGGGTGATTCCTGAGTGCATGAACCAGGAGTAACCCCTGTGCATTGCCGGGTGTGACCCTCCAAAAGAAAAAAAACAAAAACAAAAAACAAAAAAACAAATGTTTGTGCTCTGGCTGGAAGAGCTGAGTGTTTATTACTTTATTTTTGCTCAGGGCTCTGCACTCAGGAAACTCCTGGCAGGCTCGGGGGATCCCATGGGAGGCAGGGGATGGGACCCCGGTCGGCCTCGTGCAAGGCAGGTGCCTTCCTCACTGTGCTGTTGTTCTGGCAGTGGGGGGCTCTGAATCTGGGAGGAAGAATTCCAGGGAAGCTGCCACCCGGCCGGGCCGGAAGTGGTGGTGGCTGGGTGACGGATACGTGTGCACTGGAACACGGGACAGGACACTGGCGTGGAGGAGGGGATGAGACCCCGACAGCAGCAGGGCCGCCGACTATCCTGCTACCCGCTGGCCTGACAGTGGCCTCGGGGACAGCTGCACCGTCCATGCTGGGGACGGGACAGAAGTCCCGGGGCCTTCGCTCGCGTCCCTCTTCTCGGGCCGCAGACGAGTCTGCTGGGCCCTGTCTGCGGATTGTCCTTTCGTCAGTGCTCCCTGCCGTGACACACCTGTGGGATCCTGTGGCCCTGCTGACCCTGGGTGCTGCGGCCAGTCCTGGCCACGTGTGTCCATGACTTTTGGGTGTCTGTGACTCAAGTGAGTCCACGCCCAGAACTGAATCTGGTAAAAATCTCAAGGTCTCGGTGGCCGGCACTAATGTGCGGGATGGAGATTTGGGGACGAGGATGGGAACGGGCAGCCTGTGGGCAGTGGCTCTGGGATGGGCGGCTCTGGCTGGCACCTCCGGTGGCAGCTCCCCGTGCCGGGCAAGTGGCGCAAAACTGAAGCTCTGCAGCCCCGTGGCACCTGGCTCTCGGCCCTGCTCTGGGCAGGCGAGATCCTTTTCTCTGCAGTTCCTGCCTCCCCCTCGCCCGCCTGCCCGACAAAGCAGCCTCAGTTCTGCGTTCAGTCTCCCCACCCGGCGGAGGCCGCAGAGGCCGTGTTCTGCAGTGGATGCCCTCTGAGGCTCCAGGAGGACGACCTGTTCAGTTCAGTGATTTATTTGAACTGTTATTTAAAAAAAGCCCAAACTCCCCCTGTCCCCCTTCTTTGTGGTGACGCACTTTGGAACACCGCCGACACCACTCCCCCCGCATAGAAAAGATCTTCATTTATCAACAAATAAGGTTTCTTCCAAAAGGAAAGTGAGCCGCCTCAAGTTGATTTTCAGAGCTATCCTCAAAATTCCATATATATATATATATATATATATATATATATATCACGGTCACGGTCCTCCCGTTGTTCATCGATTTGCTGGAGCGGGCCCGTAACATCTCCATTGGAGACTCTGTGTTTGGCATATCGAATATATCATGGGGAGCTTGCCAGGCTCTGCTTGTGCGGGCGAGATACTCTCAGTAGCTTGCCGGGCTCTCCGAGGGGGTGGACGAATCGAACTCAGGTCGGCCAGGCCGCGTGCAAGGAAAACGCCCTACCACTGTGCTATCGCTCCAGCCCATGTGTGTGTGTGTGTGTGTATATATATATATACATATATATATATATATATGCTTTGCTTTTTGGGTCACACCGGTGACGCTCAGGGGTTACTCCTGGCTCTGCACTCAGGAACCACTCCTGGTGGTGCTCGGGGGACCCTATGGGATGCTGGGAATCCAACCCGGGTCAGCCGTGCGCAAGGTAAACACCCTCCCCGCTGTGCTATTGCTCCAACCCCGAAGAGTATCTTCTTGAAAATAAGAATTCTCTCAGCAGTCTGGAGAAGGGCTAAACTTTTTTCACTCGAGACCGTTCTTAACCTGAGAAATGTTTAGGGGTCCTCCAGTGTATAGGGACGTAAAAATTTGCCTAGAAATAAAACACTTTAGGAGCCGGAGAGCAGTACAGAGGCTGAGGTGAGGTGCCTCCTTTGCACGTGGCTGACCTGGGATCAGTCCCCATATCCCCCCAGATGGTCCCCAGAGCACCACCAGGAGTGATTCCCGGGCAACAGATTCAGGAGTGAGCCCTGAGCACCTCGGAGTGTGGCCCAGAAACAAAAAAGATTTTCTTTTTAATAATCTGAATGAATGTTCTGACTGTGGTTGGAATCACACAGGGAGGCATTTGCTCCACCATCGGCCGACAAGCAGCGGAAGCTGTAGTGGCCACAGGTCTCAGCTGAGTGGACGCTTCTCCTAAGTCGCCTCCCTCCGCCCGGCCCGTGGACAGCGCCCGCACTGTCACTTGAGTACTCTGACACAGGAGGAAGAGACGAACCCCGGCCTTCACTTTGAAGAATACATTCTCCAAAACCTCACGTGAGCGCGTGAAACGCTTCATAAAAATAAAACGTGAGGCGAAGATTAGAAAAAGCATTTCTCTGAACACCAACACACAAACAAGAGAGCTGGTGGTTTCGCTTTTTGGTTTTATTATTTTTCTGGTGCCAGATCGGAGCTGGGGAACCCAGACAGGGAAAGCGGAGCGCACCACGGCGACACCGCAGCCCTGGCCCGATGCTTTCATTTCTTAAATGCCAACATCTCGCCCTTAGGGACCAGTACAGCCGGCAGCGCATATGCCTTGCATGGAGCCGACTGGGAATCCGTACAGTCCCTGAGCACGGCCAGTAATTAATTCCTCATCGCAGCACCAGGAGTACCCCCTGGGTATCTTGGGTGTGACCCCAAACAACAACAACAAAAAAACAAAACCATGTCATTCTTCCCTACAAACACAAGAGCTACGGGTTCTAGAAGATTCGGCCCCACCAGCTCCTGGATGCCTAGGCCTCAGCAGCTCACCTGCCCAGAGCCCGGCAGGCTCTGCCCAGACGGCTGGGTCTGCTGGGAGAAGCAAAACCTCAACCCTCCGGGGCGGAGGCAGGACCAGACACGTTGTCACTCACTGTCAGCAGGGACCCGGCAGCTCTGGTATCTACAGTCATATCTGTTTTACCCTGTACAGAAACAGCCAATGCCACACAGGCCAAACACGGCTGCTTATTATTCGGAGACAAAAAATACAAACTGGCAAGTCGTGATCTGAATAAAAGTTTCAAATCTTAGAATCCCGATTTTCTAAAAACAAACAGCTAGAAAAAAAAAATATCCTAAACATTATTCTGGTACGGAGAAGAATAGAGAGTAAGACTTGGTATAAATAAAAAAAAAATGTACTTCTATCAAACACATAATACAAATGAATGAAATACCTTAGAAATCTTAAAAAAATTTTCAACACTCAAACCACCTAGAAGTTCTATGTAAACTTCTCCTAAGAGTGAAAAATACTGCAAACAAAAATAATTCCTGGCCTTACCATGTTAACCTTCAGTGTACAGTACCGGATAACGGAAAAACAGTGAAACTAAACCCTGAGGTCGCTCGCTCCCGGGGAACAGAAGAGACTCAGGGACACGGCAACTGGCTCCCGGCCGAGGGCCGCGGCACCCACACGGGCTGAGCAGCATCTGGGCCGGGCCGGGCCGGGCCCTCACCTCTCCCCGTTGGACAGCTTCTCCCCTGAGTCCCAGCGGGGCAGCGGCGCGGCGGGCGCAGGCGAGGCGGGCTCGGGCGGGCAGGCGGGGCTCTGCAGCGCGGCCAGCAGCGCGGCCAGCTTGTCGTCCAGGTGCTCCTGCAGCCGCAGCAGCCGCTCGTCGATGTGGGCGCGCAGCTGTCTCTCCAGCAGGCCCAGGTTCCGGCACAGGATCCTCTCCAGCTGCGCGCACACGGGCGGCTCCTCCGGCCTGCGGGTACGCGGGGAACGGGGGTCGGCGAGGGCTTTGGCAGGCCAGAGGCCAAAGGCGGCAGGTGGGGGCAGGTGGGGGCAGGGCCCTGCCGGTCTCTGGGACCCTCCCGCAGGGCCACTGAGGGCGGGCGCCCACCCCGTCCCGCCCCGCACAACCCTCTCAGACAGACTCCGAGTCCCTGCGGGCAGGGAGAGCACAGTTCTGCCTTCAGGCGAGAACACGACGCTGACCCCCGGGCCGTGGCCATGGGACAGGGAACGCTCAAACATTTCACCAACTGATGGCCAAGCCACAGGGACACACAGCCAAGGGCTAAGCCGTCACCCACAAATAGTGACCAGCAGGTTACACTCTGGACTAGTCCAAATTATCGGAGGTCACGGAGAACCTCCAAAGAGAAGGTCACGAGGACACGCTTCCCCGACCAGACCAAAGCCAAGGGATTTCGGGGCTCTCTGGGGGCGACTCCAGGCTCAGTGCTCGGGGTAACTCAGGAGCATGCCGGGGCGTGAACCAGGGGCTCCCGCATCACCATCAGGTTCTCCCCTGCTGCGCCACCCACCACCCCCACCCCCACCTCAGGCATTGCCTCAGAGCAGTGATGCTCGGCCAAATCACCCCGTCACTGAGCTAATGGGCTAGACCAGGAGAAAAGCTCTTTGGTCAAGAAGCTGTTTCTGGTCCTTTTCCGGGTGGGGGGACCCCAGCTGGCGATGCTTGGACTTCTCCTGGCAGCGACTGGGGGACCAAATGGGGCCTCGGGTCGAACCCGGGTCATCCGTGGGTTAAGGCAAGTGCGCCCCCCTCCCCCGCCCCCAGAGCATCTCCAGGCCGTGGCCGTGAGACCCCGCGAAGCCCTGCCCCATCTGGCGGCAGCGAGCTAAGCCCGACCCCGAGACTCACGTCAGCCCGGGGAGGCCGTCCCGCGCCCCGGGCAGCGGCTCCTGCCACTTGGCCTTGGGCCCCGCCCGCAGGTGGCTGACTTGGCTGCACAGGTCCTGCAGGAAGGGCAGCAGGTCGGGGCCAGGGCCGGGGCCGTTGCAGTGGACGCCGGCGTTCTTGGGCGGGAGGGTGGACACGGCCCTTCTCAGGCTGGCCTCCAGCAGGGCTGGCTCTGGGCCCGGGGACGCAGGCGGCTCCTCGGCGGCGTGCGTGGAGGCCAGCCCGGCTCTGAAGGGGAACGGCGTGCTGGAGGCCTTCTCAGCCACGCCAGGGACCGGGCCGGGCTGCGGGTCGGGGTCCGCGTTCCCCAGGACAGCCCGCAGCTGCTCTCCGAGGGGCAGAAGGTTCTGGGGGGAAAAATGAGGGTGGTTATGGCCAGGGCAGGGTGGACGCGCATCCAGGGCTGCGGGGGACATCGGGCTGGAGGCGAGGGGAAGTGGGATGTTGTTGGAGTGTGGGCCGGGCACCCCTGACCCAGGGCTGCTCCCATCCCGCCCTCTTCCCCGTGGGTCCTCCCATCACTGGGGCTCGCGGCTGTTCCCACCTGCTTCTGCTGTCATACAGGGACACCAACGGGCAGCGCGGCCCCGGGTCCCTGTCCCGGCATCTCCCGGTCAGCCCCACCCCAGGCCTGCATAGGGGCCCTCAGCTCTCTCTGCAGGCCCGGGCTGCTCCCCCTCACAGCCCACCCCGAGCCTGATCCTCACTCGACAGTGGGCTCTGATGTCGGAACTCCCCCAGCTCTGGGCGCGCCCCCCACAGCCGCTGGGCCAGCCCCGTCCCTCCCCGTGCCGCTGCCCAGTCTCCTCCAGAGCTACGAGCCTTGGCCTGTGGGGCCCCTCCCCTGCGATGCTCGGGGCGACTCCAGGCTCCGCACTCAGGAATGACTCCAGGCAGTGCCCGGGACCGTCTGGGATGCCGGGGTGGACCCGGGTCGGCTGCGTGCAAGGCGAGTGCCCTCCCCGCTGGGCTATGCCCCCGCCCCTGGGCTCTCTGCAGGGAGGGGACACGGTTTTCTCCCAAAAACGCTTCCTGTCTCCAGGCCTCATGCCATCCGTCTCTGGTCAGGTGAGGCCTTGCTGAGGCGTCGCTGCCTTCCCCGTCACTCCCCGGTTCTTGTGCCTGTGCTGGGTCTCCCTCCTCCCCCCAGGCGCCCCCACAGAGCCCGTGTGTCTCCCGGCCGCACGCGCCACTGGCTCCCTCCATTCCCGCGGGGACCCCGACCCTCGCTCCAGCCCCACTGTCCTCCCTCCTAGGCGCCCGGAGCAGTGCCCGCAGAGGCGGAGCCCAGAGTCTGCTGGGCCGACGCCCGCCCTGGACCCGGGACCCGGGAGGCGGCCGCACGTCCTGGCGTGACCCACCTGCTGCTGGAACTTCATCACGCTCATCAGCTGCTGCGCGCCGGGCGACAGCTTGGAGCCCATGGTGGCCACGAGGGTCTGGATACGCTCCAGGTCGGTCGTGGAGCGCAGCGGCGGGGCGTCTGGGGAGGCCTTGGGGACCACCTGCCTCAGGTGTACCCCAACAGTGCAGATGCACACGCAGGGCCGGTCCCCGAGCGAGAGCAGCTGTGAAGACAGAAGTCGGGGAAGGAGTGAGATGCCTACACAGCAATCCACAGTCAGGGCACCCGCAGACTCTAGAATGAAGCTTCTGGAATCTAGACCTTTACTGCAAATCCATTTCACACTCTCCCTTAAACAGCCAGACGCGAAGATCTGCAGGAAGTTTTTTTGTTTTTTAAAGTATCGTTCAAATAAAAAGATTAGGTGTAAATTGACATTTTGATTACTTCACCTAATGAATTCAGTATAAACACCCACCTGGGACTGTCTCATACTGGAATGTGCTAGAATTTTAGTGACTACAAAGGGGCTGGGGCGATAGCACAGCGGGCAGGGCATTTGCCTTGCATGCGGCCGACCTGGGTTCGATCCCCGGCATCCCATATGGTCCCCCAAGCACCGCCAGGAATAATTCCTGAGTGCAGAGCCAGGAGTCACCCCTGAGCATTGCTGGGTGTGACCCAAAGAGCAAAATAAATAAAAAAAAAATAGAATTTCAGTGACTAGAAAATCGCTGCCTCTGAACCCAGATACAGCAGTTACTGTGATACTAAGTATCAGTCAGTATTTTAGAGCTGAGACAGATCTAGGATGTTTGGGGATCTAATTGGGAGTGGGGGGTCCCCCCAAGAGCCCTGAGACCCCCTTCCTCCCCTGCAGCCTCTCTGGGCTCTGCCCAACATCCAGGGCCAAATGCACTAATGCTCCAATTCTGAGCGTCACCACCCCTGATAGAACTGCCACGAAATTTGGAGCCGGGTCCTTCAGAAACTCCCCCGTGCTGACGAGCAGCTGTCTGGGGGCTGTCCTGGACTGTGGCACCGCCACCACCTGTCACCACTAACCCCGTTCCTCTTCAGACTACTCTCCTGGTATTTCTCTTTCTCCTGTGGCTGTGCGGTCCCACCGGCAGTACTCAGGGGTTACTCCTGTTATCCACTCAGGAGTCACTCATGGGGGGCTTGGGGACCACCTGGGGTGCTGGGCACTGACCCCAGGGCCACTCTGCACGGCGAGCGCCCTTCCCACCATACTATCGCTCCGGCCCTTCGGTTGTTATTTCTTGGTGAAAGTTTTATGGAAAGTATTTTCAGGGGCCAGTGGGATAGTACAGTGGGCAGTTGCACACAGCCAACCTGGGTTCGATCCCCGGCATTCCATATGGTCCCCGGAACACGGCCAGGAATTGTTTCTAAGTGCACAGCCAGGTGTGACCCCACCAAAAGCCCCCCAAACCAAGTTGGTCTGTTATTTTTCGTTGGGGGGGGCGCCTGTGGGTCCACATCCAGATTTTTTATTTGGGGGAGGAGTCTTGGGGGCCACACTGAGCTGTGCTCAGGGGTCACTCTTGGTGGTGCTCACAGGACCATGTGTTACAGGTGTTCCAAACAGGATGGGCCAGGCCTTAACACCTGTAATCTTTCTAGCCCCAAATGTCCAAATTTTGAAAAAAAAAAAAATTCTCATGACTTTTGGAAAATTTTTTGTTTTGCGTATTTACCTACAACCAGGGACCATGAGCAATAGCAAACCAACAGAAGATAAGGACATATTGCACAAAAACTGTTCAAATCTGGGGCTGGGGAGACAGCTGGAAGGGCTAGCGTGCGTGCCGAAATGCGTAAGACCCAGGGTTGATCCTCATTTGGTACTATCTGACCACCTAAATACTGCCGAGTATGACCCTGCTGGTTCCTAACATTGCCGGGGTGCCCTTCCCCCCGAATCTAATTAAAACACAGTGACTTACCTTTATTTTACAAGCACGTGTGGAGGGCTCCAATTTTAGGTGTTTTTGGTACAAAATAATCTTTTCATGTTCACTAAAAAATAAAGAGCATTTTTACGGTCATACATTAACATGGCTGGAGCGACAGCACAGCGGGTAGGTCATTTGCCTTGCACACGGCTGACCCGGGTTCGATTCCTCCGTCCCTCTCAGAGCCCAACAAGCTACCGAGAGTATCCTGCTTGCACGGCAGTGCCTGGCAAGCTCCCCGTGGTGTATTCCATATGCCAAAAATTATCACAACAAGTCTCACCATGGAGACGTGACTGGTGCCCGCTCGAGCCAATCAATGAACAACAGGAGGACTTTGCTGCCACAGTGCTGCACACATTATCACTTTTTTTCCTTTTTTTTTGCTTTTTGGGTCACACCTGGTGATGCACAGGGGTTACTCCTGGTTCTGCACTCAGGAGTCACGCCTGGCGGTGCTCAGGGGACCATATGGGACGCTGGGAATTGAACCGTGGTCAGCCACGTGCAAGGCAAACGCCCTACCCACTGTGCTATCTCTCAAGCCCCTATCACTTTTTATTTTTAAATTTTGCGGCCATACCTGGCAGTGCTCAGGACTTACTCCTGGCTCTGTGCTCAGGGATCACTCCTGGCAGGCACAGGGGACCGTATGGGACGCCGGCTACAAGGCAAGCGCCTTGACCACCGTTCTCTCTCTCCGCCCCACATGACCACTTTTAAGTAATTACATTTGACGTGACAAATTTTCAACGCTCAAATCCCAAGACTGGGCTTTCCTGGTGCGGAAAAGAAACTTTGGGGGCTTCCGGTGGAACAGTGTGTGGGAAAGGCAGGACCTGCCCCGGCCAGCGGAGGGAGAACGGAGTCGGGTGATGGATGAGAAGGCGGGGAGCCTCTCCCGCACCACTCTTGCTTTATTCAGTCATAGTCACGCCTTCCTACCTCCTGGTCCCGGAGCCTGAACCGAGGGCCTCAAACACGGCAGGCGCATGCCCTGCCTCCGGGAGCTGCTCTTGGTCCCAGGGCATGCATGTGTTTTGGATGTTGTTTATGTAAGAGATGGGCCAGAGTGACAGCACAGCGGGGAGGGCGCTTGCCTTGGACGCAGCCAACCTGGGTTCAATCCCCGGCATCCCACATGGTTCCCTGGGCCCATCGGCAGTGGTTCCTGAGCGCAGAGCCCTGAGAAGCACTGGGTGTGGTCCAATAACCAGAAAACAAGTTGCTCTCTGGTGCTGTGCTCCCTGGCTTATAACTTAGCTACTTACACATACAGCAATCAACAGTTTTAAGTAAGGCCCTTAAAAGCAACTTGGAACTTCAGCGACTTCCAATACGAATAACATGCAAACTAAGAATCCAGCATCCCCTTAGAACTGGAAGAATTCTCTGGAATAATCAGACCCAACTACCCCACCCCACCCCACCCAAGTGCTAAAAATCACCTGACTGGCCCAAGGTTAGCGAATGAGTAGAAAAAAAAAAAACTAAACTCCAGAAAAAAAAACGTTCTGTTAAGATCTCTTTTGAATTATGGATAAAACATAAAACATAACTTTCTGAGCTAGAGAGACCCCGACGGGCTTACAAGCAGATCTGGTCTCAGTCCCTGGCGGAGCACTGTTCACTGAGCATTGCAGGGTGTGCCTGCCCCCTTGCCCCCCATAACACAAATACATATATATATTTTACAAATACATAATCTTTAATAACTGGTCTTTTATGAAGTGCACTGCTGAGGGGCTCTTCTCTATGGGGAAAAAATGCCACTTCTGAAGACAAGAAAACGCCTCAGATGAAACTGTGAGATGCTCCCGGTTCCTTCAGGTCTTCCTTATTCACTCAATTCCCAGAGCGCTGGTGGTGACACGGCGTTGCCTCTCTCGGCATGATCTCTGCCGGTAATGTGGCATGTGGGGGACAGGGTCTGCCTTGACCAAGGGGCCACTTTCTCACAGACTTAGAAATCTTGGGGCGGGAAGGATAGTACAGTGGGTAAGGAAGGGCCTTGTGCACGGCCAACCCAACCCAGGTTCTATTGGGCACCACGTACAATCTCCCAAGCCTGGCCAGGAGGGATCCCCGAGCACAGAGCCTCAAGGCAGCTGTGAGCACTAGTGGGTGTGGCCCAAAAGTGAAAACACAACAAAACAACCCCCAAAACCCAAACCAACCACAACCACAAAAGCCACTTCTGGCAAGATGCAGAGGCTGGAGGGAACTGGCCTCAACTGGCCTCTCCTCCTTCCAGCCGGAAACTCTGGCTGCTCCCAGATCCTGCTCCTGCTCTCGGGCAACGGGCTGGCCCGCAGGTGTCTGGTCTCTTCATCTGGCCTAGAGCAGGACGGGCTGGACTCCCCACGGTCCCCAGGGGTGGCAACACACCACCTGGCACTTGCCCAACGTTTCTCCCTTCCCAACGTGACTGGCCACTAAGTGGGAAAAACAAAACAGATCCCCAAGTTCCGTGGCCCTTGCGTTTATTAATTTGCAACGGTTATCTCTTAACTTTCTTCCTCATACCCACCTTCTCCTGAGGTACTCTTAGTTCTTTATCACTGACTTGTCCATTTGGGGGGGGGCTCCCCCGCGATGCTCAGGAGGCTTGGGGGACAGTCACTCTAGGCGATTCTCCGGCAACAAGCCAGGTGCTTCACTGCTGGACCTAGGGACACAGAGCTGCTTTGGCTCTGGTGCCGGGGAGCCCAGGGGCCACCCCGGCGGTGGGGAAGGGGGGTCTTCAGAGCTAGACCCCACAGTGCTGAGGGCAGGGGGATAACCCCTGTACATTTTTTCCCTGCCCCACCCATTTGTCTATTCATTTCGTTAGTCAATTTTCTATCTTTATATCCCACACACAGGTGACATCACATAACACTCTTCCTTTTGGCCCATGTGGCTCTGCGTAATTCTCTAGCGTGTGTGTGTGTGTGTGTGTGTGTATTTTTTTTCTTTTGGGGCCACACCTGGCAATGTTCTGGGGTTACTCCTGGCTCTGCATTCAGAACTACTCCTGGTGGTGCTCGGAGGACCATATGGGATGCCGGGGATTGAACCGGGTTGGCTGCCTGCAAGGCAAAAACACCCTCCCCGCTGTGCTATGGCTCCGGAGCCCAGGGCACATTTAAGACCCAAGGGACACGGCGACTATTTCCAAGACGCACGGGAGCAAATCAAATTTTTCTGTCCTGAATCACAGAGGGGGGCCATCCCTGAAACCTGCAAAGTGAAAAAAATTCAACGACAGCCGTGGGCGGGCCAACTCTGGGGCGCCCGCATTTGCCAACAGGCTTCCCACCAGGACCACAACAGAGACCACGACTCAAGACAGGCAAAGTTCAAGTTTGGGAAGTCAGCGCCCGAGCTTCAGGCCGCCAGGAAACGCGACTCGTCTTCCTCCCATGTAAACGGTTTAAAGCCCCGAGCTGGGACCTACCGTTGCCAGCACCCCTCCTTATCCACAGCGATAAAAAAAAAAAAATTCACCGGGACTCTGCGAGACGTGGCGCAAAGTCCCAACATCTAAGCCCTGCGCAGGGATGCTGCAAACTCAGCCTCCACGCCCCGCCCCGCCCCGCCCCTCCCCGGGGCTGGACCAGAAACTCTGCAGGGCGGGGCCGGGGGCGGGGCCGGGGAGGGGGACGGGCGCGTGCAGGGGGGCCCGCGCGCCCCGACCCACCACGCACCTGTGCAGGGAGGCGGGCGCGGCGCCCACGGGCCGGCCCCGGGCGGTGCCGCAGTACCCGTGGGCCTGGTACACCTCCATGTTGCGGGCCGAGCTCAGCACGCCCACGGCCAGCAGCTCCTCGCCGGCCCCGGGCGGGCAGCGCACGTCCAGGAAGCAGGGCTGCCCCTCGGCGCGGCGCAGCACCACCACGTCCTGGCTGCGGGACAGCAGGGTCGGGCCGGGCGGCACGGCACCGGCAGCCCCCCGGGACCCTCCCGGGACCCTCCCGCGGCCCCCCACGCAGCCCCCCGCCCCGCGCCCGCCCCGCGCCCCCGCCCCCGCCCGTCCCGCCGGGCGCACCCCGGGGCCGCCGGCGCCAGCAGCTCGTCGCAGTCCGGCTCCCCGGCCGAGGCCGCGCCCGCCCGGCTGACGCGGAGGCTCCGGGCCAGGGACCCGCGGGTGGCGGCCCACGAAGACGCCAGCGCCGGGAGGCGGCTCGGGGCCGCGGCCTCGGACCCGGCCTCCATCCCGCCGCCGCCGCCGCCGCCGCCGCCGCCGCCTGCGCCCCGCTGCGCCCCGGGCGGAACGCGTCTCCCGGCGCTCGCGTTTCCGCCGGGGCGGCGGGCGCGGACGGACCCCCCCCCCTCCCGCGCCACTTCCGGCCCGCCGGCCTGCATGTGCGCGCGCACCCGCGGCCTGGGGCGGTGGGGAGGGGCGGGCTCCGGGGACACGCGCACGCCGCGAGGCCCCGCCCCTCTCCCGGGAGCCGGTTGGGGGAGAGCTGCGCGGAGGCGGGGCCGCGCGTGCGCACTGCACTGACAGCGCTCGCTCGGAGGGGGCGGGGCCGCAGCTGCGCGCAGGCGCCGTGCGGGAAGGGGCGCGTGGGGAGTCGCGGCGGTTTGGGACGTTGCATTTGGGCGGTGGAGGCGGCGGGAGGAGGCTGGGGACCGGGTCGGAGTGATGAGCTGGGGGTGTCCCACTCACGCCCGCTCTAGGATGTAACAGGTGCAGACGCGGGGGGCGGGGCAGCGCCCTCTGGACGGCGGGGGGCCAGGGCCAGGGCTGGGGGCACCCCTGCCAATGCTCAGGGCTTCCCCCCCCCCACCCCGGCTCTGGGCTCAAGGGTCCAGGCCAGGTGGAGTCTTGGGGTACCGTGTGTGATTGCAGGGACGGAACCGGGGTTGGCCACGTCCAACCTAGTTGCACTGTAGCTACCGTCGGTCCCTCCTTTGAGTTGCTTTAGGTGTCAAGGGGTCTTATTATCTCATTCTTGCTTTGGACAACCTGGCAGGCTACCGAATGTGCCCTGCCCACACGTCAGAGTCTGGCAAACTCCCCGTGGTGTACCCAAAATGCCAAATACCAGTATCAAGGATGGGTCTCATTTTCCTAAGCCTGAAAGAGCCTTGAATGTGGCACTTTTTATTTAAAATCTCAGGGCTAGGACAAAGGGGATGTTACTGGTGCCTGCTCGAGGCAATCGACCAACAACAGGATGATCATGGTCATCAAGGTTTCAGCCTCAGGAAAATAGGGTACTTTTGGACTTTTTGACCTGGGGAGCAAGAGTAGGAAAAATCTGACCCGTGTCTTGTTTTTCAGGCGTAATCCCTTCTCCAGAGCGTGTTGGATTTGCTGAGATTGAAAGGGACTCAGTAAAGCCCCTCCCTTCCTTGTAAAGGGCCTGGTGGTGACCACAGGGCTGGGCTGGGCTTTTCCGCCTTCAACACATGGGTCAGTTTTTGCTTGCTCCCGGATGGCTCTGCTTGTGGGCAGGAGGCTCTGTCCATCGTGTTGGCCTCCACGGAGACCCACTCTCTGCAGCTCCGTGGAATGATCCGTGTCGTGGAGGATCCTGTTTGGGGACGGCCTGGGGTGGAGTTTTGTTTCCTGCTGCTGTCTCCTTGTGGGGCTCTGTACTGATTGTGTCGGGTCGAGAGGCTCCGAGTGGAATCACACCTCATCAGATGGGCCGTTTTCCCGTCGTGTCTGTCGGGCAGAGTGCCAGAGCGGTAGCTGGAGCTTGTAGAATCTGAGTTTACCGTCCAGTGTTTAATCCAGCATCATGGTGACTTCGCAGGCCCCGCGGCCGGAGAGGCTGATTGCTGGAAGCGATCCCCTCCGTTCCCCTCTGTTCCGGGGTGACTGTTCAGCCCTTCGTTCCCCTTTCTCCTTTCTAGGAGCCTTACACACAGGAAACCTTGGGCACCTCACAAGGGGTCCCGTCAGCCAACCCATGATGAACTTGGAACCCTTTATTTATTTATTTATTTATTTATTTTTTAATTAGTGAAACACCATGAGGTACAGTTATAGACTTACAAATTTTTGTGCTTGGGTTTCAGTTATACAATGATCAAGTACCCATCCCTCCACCAGCGCCCATCCTCCACCACCACGGGTCCCAGCATCCCTCCCACCCCCCCATCCCTCCCCATCCCACCCTGCCTCTGTGGCAGGGCATTCCCCTTTGTTCTCTCTCCTTTTGGGTCCTGTGGTTTGCAAGAGAGGCAATGGGTGGCAATCAAGTTTGGTCTATAGTCTACTTTCAGCATGCTTCTCCCATCCTGGGAGGATCCTCCCAACACCCTTTATTTGGTGCTCCCTTCTCTATCTGAGCTGCCTTTTCCCCTAGCACGTGTGACTGGCCTCCAAGTCATGGAGCACGATTCCTGGTACTAATCTCGGCCACTCCTGGGTGTTAGTCTCCCATTTTGTTACTTTATTGAACTTGGAACCCTTTTAAAATTGTTCTCGGGGCTGGAGCAATAGCACAGCGGGGAGGGCGTTTGCCTTACATGCGGCCAACCCGGGTTCGATTCCCAGCATCCCATAGGGTCCCCCTGAGCACCGCCAGGGGTAGTTCCTGAGTGCAGAGCCAGGAGGAACCCCTGTGCATTGCTGGGTATGACCCAAAAAGCAAAAAAAAAAAAAAATGTTCTCATCCGGGGCCTGGAGTGCAAGTGCAGGGGGCAGGACGTTTGCCTTGCATGTGACTAACCGGGGTTCAGTCCCCGACACCCCATATATCCTCTGTGTGTTGGGGAACAGTTATCCCCCCAACGGTGCCCAGACAAGTTGCACACTGGGTCCAGGCAGACATGAGGCGAAGGATGACAGGCACGAAGAAACCCCCTCTGGGAGCAGCTGAGGGCTGTTCACTTTATTGCCAAATGCACAGATATTTGATAGAGGGCCTCGGCTTACAAGAAAATCCAATCACGCAAAATTCAGCGTTATTGGCCTATTACCTCTGCAATGCTGCTCTGCCCCCGCCCAATCCCAGTCAAGGCTAGATGCGGCAGTTAGGATGACTTGCTAAGCACCTGTGACCGTTTCTGTGTCTAGGGCCCATGTGACTAGGAGGTTGAAAGAAGCTCAAGGTCGAACACCCGGTGCTGGCTGACACCCCGTTCTTGCCAGCTTTGCCCAAGACACTCCCTCTTGCGAGGCTCCGCTTCCGGGCGCTTTGCAAGGTCGGGTCTTACCTGCTCCAGTGCACGTCACTCTGCTCCACATAGGTGCTCTGCTCCACATAGGTGCTCAGGAGTCATCCCTGAGCACCACCAGGTGTGGTCCTCCCCCCCAAAACGAAACAGAACATCCCCCCCCCCCCCGCCGCCCCGTTCTGAAGCAGTATATGGGGAAGCCTCAGTTAACTTGCCGCATGTGAGTTTGGAAGAAAACATCCCGAGATGTCGGGCGAATTTTCAAGAATCCGGTCTTTCAAAATCACATTTTGTGGGAGTTAATCCTGCAGATTGCATCCAGCCCAGGGCATAGCCAGCGGTGGTACCCCCACCGCCCCCACCCCCGAGGGCCCTCCTGGGCCTGTCGTCACTGCGGGGTAAGGACACTAGTGAGCCACATGTGGCGATTCGTGGTCAAGTCAGGAACTTTTGCTCCTTGGTTGCTTCTAGCCGCGTCCGTCGTGATGGTGTCAGGGGAGGGGATGGGTGGGATTGGCTGGGAGTCTAGGGGCAAGAGACGGGTGACCCAGTGCTGGACAGCCCTGGTCTCATCGGCCCTAGCTTATGGTTCCAAGGAGTGCCCAAGACAGGTGTAACAAAGTCAATACAAGTGGAAGGTCTTACGGAGATGGACCAAATGGGTTAAATGGGGAATGAAAGCCTTTGATGGAAAGCAAAAGAAAAAGAATGAGGGGCTCGTGAGCAGAAAAGAGAGGTTGAAAGCAACCTCGGTAGTAAGACCGTGCACCCTGACCCAGAGGAACAGGGCCTGGGGTCTGGCGCTGTTGCCCCCAAGCCAGCTTCCATCTTCTCTGTCCCCCCTCACACACACCTATCTGTGGGAAGCCAAGAGCCCTCTCATAGACCCTGGCCATGGTTCCCATGTTAGGAACTGCTTGGGACAGACATTGGTGACAGTCTCCCAGGGCTTCCTGACCTCAGTGGATGCCTGATCTGTAGCAAATGACATCAGGCTGACAGTTGTCTTATCTGGCCTTATCTATAGTAACCTCCAGGATGCATCTACTGCCCTAAGACCCTTTGATGTACAAATGTCTACCTTGAATGTTAGGTAAAGCTCTTGTTGCTGACCTTACCATATATGGTTATATTGCTTCTGCTCCTGACTGAGCTGCCCCATCCTATATAAACAGCCTGTATCCCTCAATAAAGCCTGTCCCTTTTTCTCTCTGTTTCTAAACTGCACTCTGTCTCTTGTGTCTCGTGTTCATTCGGTTGGTCCCTCCTTGCACCATCGGATCAATCCTCGGGCCACCTCCGCGGGCCGGAGAGTGGTTACCGGGGCCCCCTGCACCCATCCCTCCATTCCCCCAAAGCTACCTCAGAAATGCAGTAGCAGCTGCCCTGCTTGAAGGGCGCGCTCCTGGCCAGACCAGAGTGGACTGCACCTGTTCTCACCAATAAAAGTGCAGTGGGAAAACCTTTCCTGGCCTCCCATGTTTTTTCCACTTTGTGACAGCTATTGTTTCCTTATGTTTCTTTTCTCCTTTTCTTCCCTTTTTTTTTTTTTTGGGTGGTGTTGGTGGGGGGTTCGTGGCGGGTTTGGGCCAGACCTAGTGGTGCTCAGGGCTTAGTCCTGGCTCTGTGCTCAGGAATTACTCCTGTTGGGGGCTGGGGGAACCGTTGTGTGATGCTGGGAATGGAATCCAGGTCAGCTCGGAGATTGGAAGCAGCCAGCTTGCAGCTTTCTGTTGCAATGGAAAGAACGGAGGAAGAAGGGCCAGGTGGGACTGAGGGATTATGAGTGGGGGAAGGTCCTTCACAGCATGCGGCGGTTCCCAGAATCACACTTGGGCTCCAGCACCACCAGGGGCCGCCCCTGAGCACTGCTGGGTGTGCGCTAGAGAGGCAGGCAGGTGGGGAGATGGGACCCCCTTTAGCATCTTCCCACCTGCATGCTTCCTTCCGAGCAGGGCATCTCGGGGAAATGCCGAGGAAGTAGGTCTGGGGGCGGGGGGCATGGGTGGCTGCTAGGACTGTGGTCTTGGCTTCTGGGCATGGGAGCTCGCGGTCCCTGGCTGGTGCTGTCACCCAGAGGGGGCTTCTGATTTGTGTCTCTCCTTTGCCTACACAGTGACTTTTTTTTTTAAAGAACGCGTTTTTTTAAAAAAAAATTTCTGTTTGTTTTGCTTTTTGCTGGGTCACACCCAGCAATGCTCAGGGGTTACTCCTGGCTCTGCAATCAG